TGAGGATGAGATCAATCTCCTTAGCCCAGCACTTGTTCGTGTCTTTCAGCATCGAAAACATCGTACATAGAGCCGTGTCAAGCCTGGCACTGCGTGATGGTTAGAAGCAGGCGCGAACAAACACAACTTGAACATCATGACGGACCCTAGGCACCACCGAGTGTGCCCCTGTACGACTGACACTGCTGGAAAGGTGCAACTCGTTAAGAACTTCCGAGGGTTATTCAAAAGTCGTGGGTAGTCACCAGTGACAGTACTTGTCGACGAGGAGATGAGAAAGAAGACAGAATACAGAGGATAAACTTGGAGGACATCAAAGAATTAAATAAATAAATAAGAGAGAGAGGAAAGGTGAAGAAAAAATGAACTGCCCCACTGAGGCTCGAACTCAGGACAGTTATCCAGGGAGCGAGTTCAAGCCTCTCTCCGGGCGGCATCGCGGCTTGTGATCCAGGGAATGAGTTCCCTCCAGGCGGCTCGCCCCTCTTCATTCCTCTCTCCGGGCGGCAGCACCCCATATTCATTCCTCTCTCCGGTCGTAGGCGCACCCTGCGCACATATAAACCCCCCCCCCTCGCGCCATCTCCCTCCCCCATCCCCCGCCGCCGTGCGCCCTGCCCTGTCCTCTTTGCGGTAAGTGCGCTGTCGGCTCAAGCGCTCAGCGCTCACGGGGGCCACGCGCTCCGGCGGCGCCTATCTCCCTTGTCGCGCACCTCCACCCGTCCTCGACCGCCTTGCTCCCTCGCACCGCGCCCGCTTTCGCTCATCTATACGTATGCGCAACGCACACGCATCGTCGCCGCCTCCCTCCCCCGCCGTGCTCGGTCGCGATGCACGTCCTTACCCGCTGCCTGACATCTCTCGAGGTTGCGTGCAATCTCCTGGCTATCGCAGGCTCCCTGCCCAGTATGTCCCACCCCGTGCACGTTGTGTCTACACTGTCGCATCGATGGCTCCTTAATTGTAAATAAACGTCACTTTCGTCTCGCAGCCTGCCACAGCCGCCTCGTCGTTCGCCCGGGAGATTCCCTGGTGAACCATATGCGCACGTCCACGATGTCAACGAGTCCTGCACCCGCGGACCACGCCCGCGTGAACCATCGCGGCCGGCCAACGACGCCCGCGTGAGCAGTGGCACCCAGTCAACGATGCCCGCATGAGTGGCCAACGACGCCCGCGTCAGCGTTCGCCGCCAGTCAACGTTTCAACGCTGTCAGCGACGCCCTGTCGCCCTGCGCCGTACCCGCCGCACGCTCCGTGTCCTCAAAAGCGCGCCCGCCTCGCTTGCCCTCACCCACCCACTCAGTGCGAGGAGGATGGTCATACCTGGGCTCCTTTCCTTTCTCGAGTGTTTCTTGTTGTTGTTGTTGTTGGATTTATCGGTCTTGGCTGACCTTGCACGCTTTTTCGTCGTCAGCGATGGCTGAGTCTCTCCAGGTGCAGCTTGAGCAGTAGACGAGTCATTTGCTGAAGGAGCGAGATGATCAATACCAGTCATTGCAAAAAGATAAAACTCAGCCATCCAAGAGGTCCAAGACAGGTGATGGTCCTGAAGAGAGTAGACTGCCAACAAGATACGGACGGTGCGTAGCGTGGCACGGTGTGCCGATCGATTAGGAAGTACATATGTACTAGAACTGTGGCGGATGTGGCGCGCACCGACGTCATTTAGCCCGATCTTTGATTGCCAGTGTTCCACGTATGCTGCCCTTGCTTCGTCACTCATTTCACCGCCTTGTCGCTTTCTCCGTCAACAGGTCTTCGAATCCAATCCTCCGCCCTTACATATGCTAAATCCGTTGACATAAAAAAGCAAAACAACTGCTCCACTGAGGATCGAACTCAGGGCCTTCCGATTATGGCAAGTGAAGACTTTTTCCCAACATAGAAAGTAGAGACTTGTCTTCGACTTAACAGTCGGACGCTGTAACCAACTCAGCCATGGAGCACATTTACAGGGTTCTCAAAGTCAGTGGTTATCCCGAATAAGCTCTTCCGGCTGTCGGGAACGCGGGTCCCGCCGAAGGGCGGTGTGTGTTGCGGTCGGGCGCCAGCAGAGCTCTCATCGTCCGCCACCATGCAGCCCACCCTCATCCGTCGCCAGCTCGGCGGCCTTGTGCCTCCCAAAATCGCGACCCCCTCCATTCTGGTCAGGACGCCCCGTACACCTCATTCTCTTTAGCCGGCTGACCCATGGATTGCCGTAGTCTTCTGGCCAGGGAGCAGGCCTGGGCCCGCTCGTGAACTTCTACTCGAAGCTGCCCAAGGGTTCCTCCCCCGCCCCCGCTGTGCGTGGCATCAAGGAGCGGTTCTTTAACGGAAAGAACGCGTCGGCAGCGCCGCTGCTTTGGGGCATCCTAGGCATCTTCGGTCTGGGCTACACCATTGACTACCAGAGTACGTCGCCGAGTTCTCCACACTCACATAGTAGTGCTGACTTGTTCCGGACTATCAGTGCACTTGAGTGAGTGTTCATTGTCCTGTGGTGTGTTGCGGCACTCACGTTCGCGGCGCAGAGAACCACAAGAACCACCCTCACTAAAGGTCGGACCTGGGGAGGTCAGCCGGCTGTTGGACGGGCTAGATGAGAAGTCAAGTTTGGATCAATGTTCTGCTGCTCCCGTAATGCATTTTTACTACAAGGCACAGCACATGAGACAACGATTTTTATCGTTGTCGCTCGTTTCCGCCGCCGGACAGGGAGCCCGCCTTCTACTGTGTCTCGCGTGAGTGTATATGCTCTGTGATCTTGCAAGCGTTCTCGTTTGGCTGCTCTCGTGCCGCCGGAGGATCCCATCCCTGCATACCCAGTTCAATTGGCTCGTCGAATCTGTCTCACTTTCCTCGATGCCTCATTCCCTGGGGAGACCGATTCTCTCCAGTCCCGTACGGGTTAAACCTCGCGAATGCCGATCTTCGTCTTCACGATTGTTGGCAAGATTCTAGGGAGCACATTCTCATCGTATCCACGTCTATATTCACCATTGCTGTAGTATGTAGCCATTGCAAAAATATCAAGAATGTGGTCGTTACGGCTTTTGGAAAACAGCGCGGCTCAGCGAAAGAAGGTTCGATCATAGAACGCTTGCCAGTCGATGACTCAGGAGTGCATGTGCTGTGCCAGGGTCCGCACACATTCTTCTCGTCTCAATGATTGTTTGAGTCTGCTGCAGGGCAGGGCCCTATGCCGGATTTACAAACGGGGAAGTCTTCAGGATGGAACAGACGGGGCTAGCGATCATGGGGTAGGGTCCGCACATACGTCCTCGGGTGGTCCTCCGGGTACTGAGATACCTCTTCTACGGTGATACTGCGCATGCCCGACTATGCCCCAGAGAACGTTGACGATCGAAGGTCTTCGAGAAAATGGTACATCATCGCACGCATGAAACGGGTGCGTCGTGTTCGTCCCTCTGCTGCATGTCAGTATAGGCTGACGCTGGCGGCTGTGTAGACAACGAGACGTGCGGAATAATAGCCATAGCGAGACCTGTAACAGAGTCTACACCTTTACCTAGAAATTCAGCCCATGTTGCTCCGGTTTGAGCTTCGCTACGGCATCACAAACTGCGTGGCCTAGTTCCGAGTTGAGGGCCTCGCGGCAAGACACTCCGGCTGCATATGCATGTGCTGCGTACGTGGTTTGAGACTTACGGATGGCTCTTTCGCTGGCGTTCATATTCGCGACGCGTTTCCGAGGGTGGCTGCGAAAGGCATCGTTCCGTGAGTCTTGGCTGCGATACGCGCGTGTAGGCTTTTGCTCGTATTTCGTTATAGCGGCTTTATTGGTACCCGTACTTGTGGTTGATATCACCGTGGTTGCACCACTGCATCCCCGTGACGTCAGGATGACTGGCCTGACGACATCATGTCCCCCACCTCCGCGCCGCCTGGGCGGACGGGTATATAAAAGGTCGTTGTCCGTCGATCATTGCAGCCCACAACTCGTTCTACTGGACCATTTCACGGCTTAACGACTTCTGTATCCATCATGTCCACCCAGAAGTTTGTCGGTACCCAGCCCGTCGACAGCTTCCCGCAGGACGCGACGTCGAAGATCCCCGACTCAGAGCTCAACAAGCGCGAGGCTCAGCGTAACCCCACACAGGAGCCGGGCGCGAATAAGCGTGCCGGCGCTGCGTCAAGGGATCCTGCAGGTATGTTAACTCCACATCGTACAGTTGGAAGACGTATGACTGACATGGCGGCCCAGAATTCGACAATGTAGGACGGTCAGGAGGACCCTACGGAGATCCAAAGCCGACAGCAGGTATGTTCAATGCCACCAAGTAAGGTTCCATGCACGGAATACTGACACTCTCACGCAGATCCTGTGGTATAAATCGTCGCCAGTAGCTCGGACATTGCATGTCACAGGCAATGTTTGTATCAACAGAACGCACATATTTTGCATTGCTTCCCGCACGCCACAGTAATCACGACAAATACAGAGTAATGATATCACACCTTTACGCTTCAATGCCAGTTGGCAATACCTGCGATCAGTGGGAATGTCCGTCTCTAGCAAAGTACGGGTACCCGAGTGCTCTAGGCTTCGCCCACACCACTTTGATCTCGCCATCGTTCGTATTTAGCGACAACGTCTGGTGTGATTTGTCTCTTCATCGTCTTGGCCGCCTCGACGAACACATCGTGTGGGACCTTGACAGAGAGTCAGTCCAGCCAACCGTTCAAAATGAAAGCGACGTACGAAGGGCGCGTTCATATCCCTCTTCATTGTGTGAAGCGCAGCCTCCTGGCATAGCGCAGCCAACTCCGCGCCAGAGCATCCTTCAGTCTGCAAGGCACATCAGCACGAACATCCTAGCACCAAACGCAAAGAAAACCCTACCAGTTGCGCAAGCAACGCGTAGTCCATCTCCGGCTCGACGCTCATCCTCGCCGTGCGTATACGGAGGATCTCCTCGCGCCCGCTCGCATCGGGCGGGCCGACGTAGAGAATGCGGTCGAGCCGCCCGGGGCGCATCAGCGCGGAGTCGATCGCCTCGGGCCGGTTCGTCGCCGCGACAATGGTGACCCCGACGAGCTCTTGCACACCGTCCATTTCGTTGAGGAGCGAGGTGAGCACGCCTTCGTGTGCGCCGCCGGAGGTGTCGGAGGTGCGGGAGGTCGCGAGGGCGTCGATCTCGTCCTGGAGTTATGTGAGATAGGAGGAGGGGAAGGGAGGAGAGGGACGTACGAAGAAAATGAGCGAGGGCGCGGCCGCGCGGGCTTTGCTGAAGACCTCGCGGACGGCGCGCTCGGACTCGCCGACGTACTTGTTCAGCAGCTATAACGACCTTGTCAGCGGTCACCGGTCAACACTACTGAGTGTAACGCGCACCTCCGGCCCCTTGACAGCCAGGAAGTTCACCCCGCTCTCAGTCGCGCACGCGCGCACAAGTAGCGTCTTGCTGCACCCCGGTGGGCCGTACAGCAGCACGCCCCGCGGGGGTGCACGCCCAGCCGCGCGAACGCCTCCGGGTGCAGCAGCGGCCACTCAACGCACTCGCGCAGCTTCTCGATCGTGTGCGCCTGCCCGCCGATGGAAGCGTACCGGACGGGGGTGAGGTCGAGCAGCAGCGAGCGGAGCGCGGAGGGGCGGATGGTTGGGAGGGCGGTGAGCAGGTCCGTGAGGGTGAGTTGCGGGGCGGAAGAGGAGGGGTCTGAGGAGGCAGTAGAGGAGGAAACGAGCCAATGCTTGATGGCGAGCGTCCCTGCTTCCCGTACGACGGCGCTGAGGTCCGCGCCGACATACCCGTGAGCCTTGGCGGCTACCGCTCGGAGGTCGTCGGGTGAGATCGAGTGGGGTGTCTTTGAGAGGAGGACGAAGAGGATGTGGAAGCGCGCTTCCGCGTCGGGGATCCCTATATGCGCGTGTTTTAGTGAGCAATCGCACCCTGAGATGCTTGGTTGACAAACCGATTTCAATCTCGCGGTCGAACCGCCCCGGTCTGCGCAACGCAGGGTCGATCGCGTTCGGTCGGTTGGTCGTAGCGACAACGACGACCCTCTCCTCCTTCCCCTCCTTACCCGCCTCCATCCCGTCCATGATCGTCAGGAGCTGCGCCACGACGCGCTTCTCGACCTCCCCGCCAGGCCCATCTTCACGCCGCGGACAGAGCGCGTCTACTTCGTCGAGCACGACGATGCACGGTGCACGCGACCGCGCCTCTGCGAAGACGTCGCGAAGTTTCGCCTCGGTCTCGCCGTGATAGGCGGAGGAGAGCTCGGGGCCGTTGACGGTGAGGAGCGAGGCGCGCGTGGAGGCGGCGATAGCGCGTGCGAGGTGTGTCTTGCCTGTGCCGGGTGGGCCGTGGAGGAGAATGCCTCTGGGTGGTTTAAGCCCTATTGAGGGTTACTGAGATCAAGCCAGGCTGCGTGGGGGGAGATACGTACCGAAATGCCGGAAGAGCTCTGGCCGGGTGAGCGGGATTTCGATGAGGTCGCGGATTTGCGCAATTTGTTTGTCGAGCCCACCGACGGCGGCATAGGCATTTGGGTCGACGTCGCGTTCGATACCTTTGCCAAGTGCCTGCAGGAAGATCTTCAGAATAATGATCACGAGGTGAAGGGGAAACCCAAAGTACCGCTTCTGCTGTACCATCTCTATCAGATTTTTCACCGTCGCGGTCTAGGCGGACTATGACGTCCCAGTCCACCGTCCATAAGTGTGGTTTTTCTTCTTTCGCGATAGACAGCGCTGCCAGGTTCTCTGACAGGTCGTCTGCATGGCCTTCCGCTTCGTTCACGGCGGAGACGGCAAACCGCCGGCTCCGGCCCTCGTACGATACTTCCACTATCTGTGTGGGTGTGAGGTGCTTCTGATCGACTGTGTACACGAGGGGACGATGATCGTCAGCGAAGCGTCCACCTGGGAAGCAGCCATCGCGGGAGAATGGGCTGTGGGAACGACCGGGGCGCACCTAAGACCTCTCTGACGAGGAGCGTCAGCCAGTCGCGTCTCTTTGCAAGGCTATCTCCATGAGTCTGCGTCTTGGGGTCGTTATTGGATCGCAGATTGGCGGACGATGTCGATATTTCGGGAAGGACCTCTCGCATGCGGATCGTGCGCGCGGCTTGGGCATTTTTCAGCGGGGGGACATGCGGTGGGGGTCTGCCTCCGGTCAGCGGATGTAGTTGTGTTTTCGCTCCGGGGGACAGATGGGCGGTCAGGAGCAGGGACTTTGAAATGAGAATAGCTAGATTCCCCAGCCATAGGAAGTGAGCACGTTCGCGAGAGAAGAGTGTACAGCGGCGATGACGACTTACCGTCGTGTGATATGTCTATGGAGGGCCACACGACTCCCACAGCGAAGGCCTGTCATATCGAGAAAGATAGTCAGCCGAAGCTCTGAGGATGGCGCGAGGCTGGTCAGCTGCGCGCCCGCCATATTGGACGATATGCACTCACTGTGACTCCAGAATCCACTGAGGAAATGGCGATGGCATCACCAGCGCAGAGCTTAGTCGCCTTCACCACCTCTGCGTTTATCGTGATTCGTCTTGCTGCACGGCCGGAGACGCTGCGGGTGCTGACGACAAATGTCTTGGCCGCAATGGAGGTCATGTTGCACCCGGCGCGAATAGGACAGATCAACTTTTCAGAAAAGGCGCAGGAGTCGATGTCGACGCGAGCCACACAGGCCAGCGTAGCCGCTACCAAGCCGTCGTGGCAGAGGGGCGATCGTAGGTGGAGGCGGGTGTTTCGTAGGATTTACGTTTTTAGTAGTCCTACTTTTCGATCGCTGTGCCACGTGGTCGCCATACCTGCGCGGTGGCGACGGGAAGCCCGCGTGTCTTCGACGTTCGTCCTCCCGGTCGTCCTCCTCGCTCAGTCTTTGTTATGCATTCATCGTCCTGAACAACCTTCTCACATAATACTCCCGCTCTGTGCGAGCTCCAGACCACCAGGAACATGCGGCCGTCGTTCAGAACACTCGTATGCAGTCTCTGCCTTGGGGCAATCGCCGTAGCTCGATTGTCAGAAGAGTTCAACGAAGAGCTTCATCTACGACCTCTGCGGGACGGTAAACTAGCAGCTCGGTTCTCATTCAGCACACTTCTGAAGGGTGCGACTCCAAGACACCCGGAGACTCTGGGAGTAGAGGACGACTGTGAGTCGCTCAGTGATCGTCGTACAGCTTAGAGGTGAATTGCCAGCTAGCGCAGCTTTATACTTTGCTTCCTCTTGCTCTCGGTCAAATTTTACGAGAGTATGCTGTGACCGAATTACACCTCACGCTCAACGCTGGAAACTGGAACTACGACCGCTGGGGCTATCCTGATGAGCCCGGTGTTGGCACGGGGGCCGAGCTGTGGGCATGGATGGGAGAAGGTGGCGTTGTCACGTAAGTGTTCGATGTCCTTTCAAAGAAACGGCATATCTTACCCTATTGCCGCAGAGTGGACAGCCGATGGCTGGGACTACGCAATGCCCTCGCTGGACTATTTTGCGCCTCGTTGGGTTCTTTGGACGAGCAACGTACGACTTCACCCGTGCTCACATTCCAGCCGGAGGGCGCCTTGCCAAATGGGACTGCGAGCCATCAGCTACGGCACGCCACGCTACCGTCGGAGCACGTCTGCACGGAGAATCTGACGCCCTTCCTCAAGCTCCTGCCGTGCAAGTCTCTGTCCGGCATCGCCAGCCTCCTCAACCCACACAGACTGTTTGATGCCGACTGGCACGGTCTAGGCGTGCACGTCCGATATCTTGAAGACGCTGGCGTCGAGGTGCGCCTGGCGTTCCAAGCCGTCCTGGATCCGGTCCGAGCTGTATCGGACGGACGACGAGGTCGGTGGGCTAGCGTGTACAGCCTCGCCATGCCAGCTGATCCCAAGCGTTGACTTTGCAATCGCCAGACTGGTCTCTCAGCGCCATTTTTGATCGCCGTATCGAGAGGGCTTGTCCTGTGGCGCGTTCGAGCGTCATTCGCGTGCGGCTCCCCCAAAACGAGACGTACGCAATCATACCATCACCGTCGACAATGGACTCGACATATGCAACATATGTTATGAGTGAAGGTATGACCTAAGTGATCACGTCATGGATCTCGGTGCTTATGGTGAGTGGGCGCAGTGAACAACCCACCCGATGTCGCCATTCGATGGGTCGAAGAAACAACGTTTCAGTATCGTGAGTCTGCATACGTGTCGTCTCGAATATGCCTTACGTGAAGAGACTACAGCACCCACCATCGAACCGCAGACGCACATATCCGTGCATCGCACATTGAACGGCGCTAGCCAGCATACGGGCCAACTGGCGCTGACAGTTACGAATAACCACGATATCCAGCTACAAGCGGGTTATTTGGAGACCATGCCGTGGCTGTTGCAGTTTTACTTGCATACTCTTCACGCCCAGATCGATGGCGCGTCTCGGGGTACGTCTTCCGTCCAGTTCAGCCCGGATTGTCTTGTCTCACATTGTGCGGGTCTGCTTTCAGATGATCTCGTTAAGGTCATATCATACACGCCACCTCTTCCACATGTCCAGCCAGCGCTTCTGCAAGCTGTCTTGACACTCCCGCCGAAAAGCACGTTGCGGCTAACCATGGATGTCGTGAAACCCTTCCTTGCCTACACGGAGCACCCTCCAGATGCGCAGCGCGGCTGGGATCTCCCCCCGGCCGTTTTCGTGCCGTTCTCAAGTCAGGACGGCAGTCAAACAGACTCTGATCCGCAGCAACGCGCCATCCTCTCGGACGTGCGCTCGATGCGGATGTATACCCCTGTCCTCCTCGTCGACCTGGCCACGCCGGACTTCAGCATGCCGTACAACGTGATCATCATGAGCTGCACGCTGATTGCACTCATCTTCGGCATGGTATTCAACCTGCTGACGAGGAAGTTTGTAGTAGTACGCGTTGCCGAGAAATCGTCTTGAAAGGATGCGAACGCATCTTCGTGGACCCTCGCCCGATCCGCCGAGGCAATCCGGAATGAATGGGTGAGAACCACAGGCACCTGTCGCGACTAGCCTTGTCCTTGAGACCACAGCAGTCGCTGGCGACCAGCTGACTGCAGACTGACGGCAACGTGGGCCAGATCCGCAAAAACACCCGCGGCTATTGCGCGTCAGATCGGCGATGCTCGACTATTCTTGAGAGCAGCAAAGCAGGAGGGCTCCTGGGACGCGGTACACGGACTGATGGCAGTCAGTGGCACCACCCTTGTTTTCTTGCCGTACGTCCCAAGGCCGTTCGTGAGGCGTCTTCGCTGACTCCACCATCTCGCCGACAGGCCAATACGCTCAGAAGTGTGGTCATGAGAGTGCTCCTGCGGACTGCACCCGGCCTGGACCGATATGTACGAGCACTGAGCCCACATCTCGTCACACACAACCTGGACCGCGTGGTGAGCTCGGATGCGTATCGAGTTTTATGGCTGGCGGCTTCTCTGACCTGCCTCCGGAGCCGTCAATTCGCGAAAGGGTCGTACGCCGTAGTATGCCCAGGATCCGATCCCGACGGTCGTTCTGATAGTGTCGGCCAGATAGCAGATCGATGCGCGTATGAGGACGTTGCATCGATGGCGAGCATCGGGCGGCAGCAAAATGTGTGCCGTTCCACCTGGTCTTGGCTTATCGAGGAACGGGATATTCTTTCAACCTTTGGCTGGGGATGAGGTACGGATCTTGCTGGGAGCTCATTGACTCGCGGCTTGATGAAATGTCGTTCGGGTGTGGCTGGTCCACATACAGAAGTCCTCGCCGCACGATCCGAGGAGCTTCCTCGGTGAGTTACATATGTTCTACGAACCGGTCGCACATACGTACGGTATGAGCGAACCTGCCGCGGCGAGTTCTATCGATGATTCCTACAGACTCCGCGGCCAACGAGATTGACAGTTTTCCTGACAATCCAGGTACACCGCACGTTTGTGAGTTCGATCGCTCGTCATTTCACGCGCGCGTGTGAACGCCCAGGACTGGCTCCTCGTTCTCATGTCCTGGACCTTCACAGCCAGTTCACAGCTGGAGTGCGGCCACCGGTAGACCAACAAGATCGATATGGGAGAAGGCCTCCTATGCTTCCGGACGCAGGGCCAATGTGGCTTGGATCTTCTCAGCCTCTTCCGTGATCGAGTCTGCTGAACAATCTCGGAAGCGGCCAATCGCTCGGAACAGTGCTGGTATAACAAGAGCGTTAGGTGAGATGGCACTATACCTCAAACAAGCGTTGAGGGCGCGCAGACGGACGCTGGTGACGAACAGTTCTCATCCTATGCGCTATCTTCGTAACACCGATGGCGACAGCGTCCTTTTATCTCTTCTCCGGAGGAAGTGCTTTCGCCTGCGCGTCCACCCTCGTCATGATAAAGAAAATAGTCGTCGAGTCACATGATAGTAGCCTCGAAGGCCTTCTGCGTGGACCAGTGTAAGTATGGTTCAGAACCGCCTGCAGGCGAGGACAGCACAAATATCTCACGAGTCGCATTCCGACAGCCCAATCAGTGTGGTGCTTTCATGCGCCGCTCGTTGAGTTCTGATCATGCTGGGGACCTGTTAGCCCAGCGCTTCCTGCACGCATGTTCGCATAAAAAGACAAGAACTTCTGCAGTGGCACGTCCCGACATCTCTTCGCCCCTCCCGTGTGCCACCGTATCACCCGCCTCTGAGTCACTAGGACTCATCCCCGGCGTGGCAGTCGGTATATCTTGAGCCTGTTCCCCCCTTACCAGTCCACTCATCCTACGTGTAATGTGTCGCCGTATTGCGTACGTTCCTTCACGCTCATCCTTTGAGCCACCACTGAGAGCGCCTATGTAGGGAAGGTACACGGTGGTCGAAGTGTGGGGTATGCCGTCCCTAGCCGATCAGAAAGAGGTCAGCTGAACGAGTAGCATGTCTGTCCTTGCAGCACTTTCAGCGTCACGGCATTGCCGCCATCATGGACTGCAACTCAGGTCACTGCGAAAGGAGTATTTCGCACCCTCGCAATTGCAAAGACCCCAAATGTCAAAAAGTGAGTGGACGCGCGTAACAATGTTGCCACCGTGGCGCATTCCCCGGCGGATTCGCTGACGCTCCGCGGCGCATCTGCAGAACTACGGTCAAGAGGTCCAGAAAGACATCGACGTTGTGAAGGACTACTGCTTCCAATGTCGAGCCACCGCCGCACGTACAGTTCCCACTTGATCGGGACCCGGCCAGTTGTTGTATTCGTCTGCATTCATGTCTTCCTCTGCTATTTCGCACGCATGGACAGGTTGTATCACTCACATGTCTTCGCTTTCGCTTCGCACATCCCACCGGTAACCTTGCATATTTGTAATCATAATACAGTAATGATACTCTGTCCGAGTACTGACCGTGGCTAGCTCTTCCCCGGTGAGAACCACCCCTGATAGGATTTGTGACCACAATGCACGTAACTCTGGGTGGGCTAGTGGACTCACCACTGCTGGCATTTGAATGCTGTGTACCCTGCAGGATCCGAGTCATACCCTGCTACGTACCATGTCCTTGTTTCATTCCACTTTCCAACCAGTGGTCCGCAACCGGCGGGTAGAGGCAGGGTACCCGTGATTGATTATTAGAAGCTGTGGCGTCATCTACTATTAATCTTCATGTTCTGCCATTCAGCGATGACACGATGGCTTTGAGACATGAAGGTCATCGGTCAAACATGAGGCGAACGTGAGGACGGTGGCAGCGCGCCTTGCTACCAAGAAGTGGAATTACCGGTCCCTGGAGTCCCCGCGTTGGCGTTCTCACCTTCGAGCAAGTTGCGGGCTTGCATGTTTCAGGGTCTGCTGCGTCTACTCATGGAGGTCTGGCGCCTGAGGCGCTTCACAATACGTCGAAGACGAAGTTGTGCGATAGCAGAGGCGGACTCCAGAGAAGTTTTCTGCTCGGTAAAACCATATCAGCGTGGTCATGAGCATGCAACAAAAGCAATGCAATGTACTGCCTTTGAAGCGGTGTCACCGCAGGACCAGATGGGTCGCAGAGATGATGTGGATACGGGTTCAACGAGATACGGGATGCACAATCCAACAAGAAGCAACCGGGCCGCGTGGCGAGAAGTTCATACACGCACGTCTGATCGAAGAAGATCCTAGATACATAGATGTGAGCCGAAATGAAAACCAGGAACATGCCAAAGAGATGACGACGATACGCTTGGAAGGAGTATCCGATATGCTGGGAGGAAGGGCTCGAGTCAAACAACTTTGTACGTCAAGATATGAGCAGGCGCCCACTCTGAGACGTCACCGTAAGAACACAGCTGAGCGAGATGCGCACGATTCCTGGGAAGACGGGGACGCTCTTGAACAACCTGAATATCTTGTGTGCGAAGGATGGCGAGGTATGCGTCCTCCCGGAACAAGGCCGGTGGTCTAGTGGGAGATCGTGCTATCCTACATGCAATCAGAAAGGAGCTGTACTCAAAGAGAATAGAGCTCACCAGTTACCCGCACTGGAGTCCGACCGATCGAGGAGCGTATCGCAATGGTGCCTCATTGGCCAGAACGAGGCAGGCAAACTCATAAAATGCCGCGGTAAGATATCAATAGAGATCAGGGCACGATGCCGGTAGTCGAAGCAGGAGAACAGCACCTTCGAGGCTGCTGTGGGATCGGGAAGGCCTGCTGCACGCCTGTGTACGTCAATGGATAAATAGCGATAAATAGCCATTCTCATTCTATACGATTCGATCGCCACGTCGATTGCGACAGTGCGTTGCATTTGTGCAGATCGCGAATTCCCAAAGGACACGTGCGAAAACAACACATAGCTACAGTATGCTGATGCGAATGCCTTGCTGAAGGATCGATGTACTCGTCGGAACTGGCCACACAGACGCACATAGATAGGGCATAGTAACAGCTGAATCGAGACTCATGGGCACTCACCGAGTACCACAGAGGCCATCATTAGGTCAGAGAAGCATTGCCCATAGCATTGTACTGGGCTAGGCCCGACTTCGAATGACGCCTAGGAGGTGATGCGGTGATCTATCGAATAGCGAGTAAAGTTAGCCACAGCAACACCGCCGTTAACTAACGACCTTCGCAGTGACAAATCACCTGCACATAGCATATCCACTTCCGGACGATTGAGGTTAAGACCACGGTAGCCGACATCTGACCTAGAGAGCACCGAAGTTAACAACTCCGGGCCTACAGTCCCACTCAGCATTTCGGATACGACGTACGTTGTATTCATACCTTCATGCCGGGATCTACTTTGGGTTATCATACCCAATAATCAGCTTGAAGGCTTGGACGTCGTCTTGGGTCAAAAAGGATCAGAACTCAAGTTCATTGAAGGCGCAACTTAAAGGTGTGGCTTACCTGATTACCGTGACGGTCCACTGGCAGTCACTTCAGTTTCGCTGTGATAATTCTAAGTACAAGCCGAATCTAGAGAGGAACTGGCTGCAACCTGCAAGTCTAGTAGAGTCTAGTAGTAGGTACAATGTCGAGAACGCTCAAGGACGGCGCGTGCGCCGTCGACTCGGACTCGGAGGCGTTGAACAGACGTACGTAAGCTATTTCATCCACGATCTGATCTGAATCTGCTGTGCGTCTAAATTCGGCGTGACAAATTCGTGCAACCAAACGACTGCCACAAACGACTGCCCAACGGCCACCGTCGTGCGGGTGTATGCGTCACGAACGAACTTGATCAGGCCACCGACTTCAATCGACCAAGACCAAGGATATATTGCTATCCTGGCGACTTTTCTGTAGCACCGCCGAGCGAGCATCCCTGAACCTGTGGACAGCGGGTGCCAGTGACTCGAGAGCTTCGGATACAGAGCGTACGTGTCTCTCAAGTTACCTCAGCATGTATTCAGGCTTGACATTGCGCATTAGCGAATCATGATTCACGTAGGCTGCCACAAGAAGTCTGGGCCATCATTCTCGACTACTTGTGGAACGAGCAGAAGGCACTCATTGCTTGCAGTCTGACGTGTCACGCGTGGGTTTCGATAACGCGTCGTCACCTCTGGAATACTGTCAAGTGCGTCTTGCCGTGGAAGATTCAATACCTCCGGGAGTCTCTCAAAAGCTTCCCCGAGCGAGGGACCTTGATCCGCTGCCTCGAAATCGAGGGGGACTTATTGACCCCCAGCTCGCTTGTATCGCTCCTATCAAATTTTATCAACCTCGAAACGTTGACGATTGGGATGTTAAAATACATGCACCGAGCGGGGGTGCACATCTCGGAAGAATCGCTCAAAGCCATAACGCTCCCGCGACTGAGCACGCTATCACTCCTTTACTCCACCTGGGAGACCGTCACTCTGGGCCGCTTGCTTTGCGCGTTCCCCCGCCTTACTACATTGTATATGAAACGAATCGTTTTCTCCGACGAAGGCGAGCAGTGGGATTCCATCGACCCTTCTATCCGCGACGACCTTGTGGCCCGTCTCGCCGGTCTCCATCTGAAGACTCTGACTTGGTATTGCGGAGCAGTATGGGAGGAACTCGACGGGTTGCTCATCAGCTCACCACTGTGTCGAGGTCTTCGCAAGCTCTCCCTCCCGGGCGCATACGGTATCACAGTTGGCCATAAGGTCGCCACCGCGTTCCCGATCCTACGGACAGCTGGGCCATCGCTCGATACCCTCACGCTGATGGTGTCTACCCGAGATGAGGATGAAGCGGGCCTAGACCTTCTGGACTTTTCGCTGAATACAAACCTTTCGTCGTTCCACATCGGGATTTTGGCAGGTGGACATCGCAGTTATTGGGCGGACCGCCCGGCGTCCGTGCTTCGTCGACTGGTGGGCTCGCCAGCGATGTATTCCCTCAGACGCCTGGACCTCTACTTGCTCCTGTATGACTGCACACAGCCTCCTCCGGACAACTACATGAGGCCGAGCAACGCCCGTCTCGGCGACATAATCGTGTCTATGCTCCGGGACAATTCGCACTTGATCATCACTTTCCATGCGCGTGGTTCGGCGTATGCAGCTGGGGTTGCGCGGCGCGTGTTGGCGGAGTATGTCGTGCGTTGTGCACCCGAGTTCGTCGCCACCGATGCGCAGACACGTCTGCGGTTGATACACGACCTCGCTGTCTTTGGAAGTGAACGTTCACCTTTGAATATGGGACATTGGGAACCAGGCTGGGAAGATACGGACATATCTCAGATGGAAGTGTCGCTCTTCTGGACGCAGAGGTCGGCGGATAAATTACGGGATGTTCTTAGTATGTAAGTCAGTCGCAATATACTTCCTTGTGTGCCGCTTCCTAAGCCGTACCATTCTCCATATAGTATCCTCTGTACCGAGTACATGCATAACACAATATCCTACTCCCAAATGAGCGTGTATTCTTTGTGCTACTGGTGTGTACCCACATATGCTTTTAGTATTTCGCGCGAGACGACCTGGAAAATGCGACTGGTTCTTCTGTGAAACGATGTACTTCCTATTCCATTTTCAAGTTGATTTGTCTCTTCCCGGAATTGCGTGCACGCTGCACGCTACATGGGGGACACCTTCATTGTTCAAGGGGCCACCTCCTCCACCCGGCAGACGCCGGATCAATCGATCACGCGACACGAGTTGACTCTCGGAAGGTCCGAACATCAACCAACTTGCCTTCGGTTGAGCACCCCAATAGTACTCGGATACATAGCGTGACCCTGTAAGCCTACTATACCACTCGTCGTTCTCGACCCATTGACCAGGTGTCGATCTACTTAGTCTCGTATACAGAGGCTGTATGTCCCGGGGAGTCTGCTATGGACGCATCATCGCCTCCGCCTCCGGCAGACATCCTAAGTGTTTTGCCCGGAGCTCTGGCACAGCTGGAGATTGATACACAGTACATACAATTCGTCTCACATGTCCATGAAACGCTCTGACGAGTTTCTATGCAGGTTTGCAAAAGGATCTCTCCGTGCGGATCCACGTACACTAGGCGTCGCTGTCTCGAGGGCGCCCGAGTCTCACACAGAGCGTCAGTGTCCCTTTCATTGCGTGTGCATCGTCTACTCATCTGTCGATTCATTTCTTCAGCGACACATGAATCACAGAGACTGCCACAGGAGGTCTGGGACCACGTTCTTGACCACCTCTGGGATGATCATAAAACACTCGTGGCCTGCAGCCTGACGTGTCTTGCATGGGTACCGACAACGCGCTGGCACTTATGGCACACGATTCAGTGCCCCTCCTCGCGTAAAGCGACAGCCCTACTGAACGTTCTCTCGAACTTTCCGGAGCGAGCGGCGTCGACTCGCTGTCTCTCAATCTACGCTACAGCCCAGCTGTCACTCGTGTCACTCTTCTCAACCTTTGTAAACCTCGTCACGTTGACCGTCACCGCATACCTGGGCACAGATGAGGAAGGCGGATCCGAGGAACCCTTTAGGGCGATGCAACTCCCGCATCTGACCAAGCTGTCGCTTCGCGACTCTGTTGTCCCGACGGCAGTCATGGGCCGCATACTCTCTGCACTCCCGCGCCTCTCTACGTTGCGCTTGGACGATACGGTACTCCCCGGCGGTCATACAGAGACCTGGAGTTCGACGGATACTGTCACTCGTATTGCCAAATTACAGCTGGAGACCTTGGTCTTGGGTGGTAGATCAGGATGGGGGGAACCCAACGAGCCCCTCATCAGCTCACCACTATGCCGAGGCCTTCGAACACTCGTTCTCAGGTATCTTCAACCTGATGGTCTTCACAGTGATAAAATGCTCGCTGCAACCCTCCCACTCCTCCGCACGGCGGGACCGTCGCTCCAAGTGCTCACGCTGATGGTGACGACCCCCGACACGCCCGAGCAGGCCTTCAACCTCTTGGACTTCTCGCTGAACACGAACCTTGCCGCTCTTCACACTGGCTTTGTGGCGAATTCAGGCGTATGGGCTCATCGACTGACTGCCGTGCTTCGCCAGCTTCGGCGCTCACCGGCGATATATTCCCTCAGACGCCTCGACGTCTATTTGCTCCTGCATGACTGTAGGGAGCCGCCGGCTCACGAGAACTACATGAAGCCGAAAAACAACAATCTCGGGAACATGATCGCTGTCACTCTCCGTCAGCACTGGCAGCTGGTTGTCACCTTCCATGCTCGCGGTTCCTCGTACGCGGCTGGCTATGCACGACGCGTGTTGGCGGAGTATGTCGAGCAATGTAAGCTGGAGGTCATGAACGCAGAGACGCGTAAGCGCCTGCGATTCGTGCATGACCTGGCAGAGGACTGCCCGCCTTGGCACAGGGAGGAATGGGCTACGGTACTGGACTGGGATGATGTGGGTATTTCCGGGAGCGTTATTCTTCTAGGTGCAGCGACTAGTGATGAAACGGGATGTCCGTCTCAACTTGCGAGTGAGTGACACTATCTATCGCTTGCCGTCTGTTTACTGGTACAGCGTCATCGGTTTGCAAGGAGACTAGATCGTGCAGGCAGTAAATGAGTGGTATACGTATATCCGAGATATATGTAGGTCATAATTGCAATACAAGGGCGATCCCGACAGTCTTCCTTACGCGAAACACTGTCATTATTATACAGAGGTACAGTATAGCCTCGATCCTGTGGTTGAGGGACGGTACATATCGATGATGAGAAGACACCCCTATAAATACAGAGACGCGATAACCAAGAGCCCGTTTCAGAGGATACACGAGTCATGGGAGAAATACGTTGTTACATGACGAAAGCACTTGTGGAGGGTCCATATGGATCGATGGGTGCGACCGCACAGGTGGAGTCCCGCGGGCGTTTGACGACGCGACGGGATTTCACTTTCTCTGATGCGTTGTATGAGCTTTATACTGCGCTGAGAATGCATGTCCACACTCACTTCCTCCGCCCTTCAGACGCCGTAGCTTGCGCTTCTCCGCGAGCACGTCATCGTTGTGCTCGTCGACCTCCGGCTGCCTCTCGTAGGGGACCGTGTGCCCGCACGTCGGGCATGTACAGCGCACGGGATACGACGCGCTCAGCTTCTGCTTCCAGTATTCCTTCCTGAGCTTCGTGATCTCCTTCGTGTACATGTGTGTACGAAGGCTGGCGTCGGGAGTGGCACGACGCGCTCGTAGGACGGGTTCTTTGTCCAGTGCGTGTTCGAAAGCGGCAACTGCCTCGTGGGGGACGATGACCTCTTTCTGCCCCGGTGCTATGTAGCCGATGATTCTGAGGTAGTCGACGAGAACGCTCGGCACGGTGACCTCTTCGCGCTTACGCAAGACTGAGGAGATGGCGAGCTCGATGTTGGTGAGCATGATGAATCGACCAGAGGCTGACAGCGAACGATGATGCAGACGAAAAGGACAAGTGGATCCTGGAGGATGTGTGCGGAATGATGAGACGCGGTTAAGGAGTGGCTTTGAGAGAAGGTGTCGCAATATATACGCAGAGTCGATTGTGCCACTCAGAGATGCACGCGGCACAGGTGCGGTACACTGGATTGTATTCTGGGGAGTGGCTGGATCTTCCGCCCCGCACTGCAGAGCGACTGTATGTAGACAGAGTTCCGAAGCAGGACGACAATCCAGTAACTTATCAACGACTGTGCTGGTGGCCTGTCAGTAGGAGTTCGACGACAAAGACGAGGACCGCAATGGTCAGCGTCGCGGTCTCGTGCCCGCGTGTCGCGAGAGTGGCGATGTCACAAGTCAGGTGCCTTCGGACCGCGACATGTCACGCTTATCCGTCACTCCTACGCGCGTGCTGCCCTGAGACGCGTTTCTGCACACGCTGTATGCGGGTCGTACATACTGGTGGGACTTGCTGACCTATCGCGCGTGTGCACATGAAGTGGGCGTGCGCACGGATTCAGAGATGCGGTCAGGTCAACTCGAAACACAAAGCATCCGCGGCCTACATCAGACATTCACGGTCAGTGAGAAAGTACTCTGGTCGATACTATCTGGACGACTCACGTCAATGATATGCGGTCCGTGTCCAAACAGGATGCCCGTGCTCCGAGACACTGATAGAAGGTAGACGACGAGGAGAAAGAGCGACGAAGTATGATGACTATGATCTGCGTTGTTCCTTTCGGTGAGTGATAGTCGTGTTACGAACGTTGTCTCCGCGTCACACCGCAAACAGGGGAATGCTGCCCGCAGTGTCCAATTCCTGCCATCCAGGCTCTCAGACGTACGTCGCCGGGTCCGCCACGAACTCATGGGAGAATCGCAGCCGTTCCGCTTCAGCTTCGAGCCACGGGGAGGACGTACGCAGACGTTTGGTGATGGAGCCTCTCGCAGGCTCAGCATCCTGTACATGGCCGCGAACGTGGAACGTCACGACGAGATCGCGATGATCCCGCAGAAGACGAGTGATTTCGTGGTCGAGCTGCTCTTGGTGCGGGCGGCGGGGACGCTGGAGAAGGTGCTCGTGCGGTCGCAAGAGCGTGTAGATGTCGACTCGCCTGAGAGCGTCGAGTGTTGGCGGTAGGCGGGCGAGAACGGCGGCAGGGCCGTCTGTCCAGTCGCGAGTGTTCGCTCCGTTGAGCGCGATGTGCAGGGATGTGAGACTGCGGTTGTCAGAGAGGTCCAATCTTCCGATTCCTGCTCGAAAGGCCGTGGACTGGTGACGCAGTACGTTCGGTAGCAACAGAGAGAGCGTCCTCAGGTATGTACTTGCACTACGCAGCATGCGCGAAGACTCCTCGAAATCGCACGCTGATGTTGCCCTGTACTGCCCATGACCAGTGTAGGGGATGCATACAAGAGTGGCCTCCTGGAGTGTACTGCATAACGGTGATAGGAGAAGTCGTAGGGGACCCTGCTTGGCAAAATATAGGATCCACCACACATGCTCGAGTCGGCAAGGCGCATCGGTCGATGAATGGCTACCGAGGTACATTATTGACGTCCCTTCTGGCAAGATAAGCGATTTTGTACTGGGCATGATGTGAAGTAACCAGCCCAGCATCACCGTCGATATATCGCACTCTTGTAGGGACAGAGCCACAATTGATGCCAGAGGTTGTTGAACGAACGTCGGCGTTGGGCGGTAACGAGCGAATGGAGTGCACGAGCGGCGGGGTATATCGATAAACGAGTGTGCGGTTTGTCTCGTCCTCGGGGCGGGGAGGCAAACGCGCGAGGGTAGTTACATGCGAAAGTCGAACTAATATAGTTATTTCTTATCTAAATAAGGCACGAACCGGGTACAGTCATATCGCGCCGCAGCGCGGCGCGTCGGCGAGCCGGGGATCGGGTATGCGCTCGCCCGGTTGTTCCAACACACCCCCTCGAGCCATGAACGATCAGAGGCGAGCCGGAAACAACGAACAAAATGAAAGACAAAAACAGAACAATGAGTGCACATACAGTACACCCCCTCAATCACCAAGCTCCGTCTTCTTCGACAAGGTACGCCGTAGAGGCGCTCTGCTTCGCGGGTACAACGGCAGTCGACGTCGTCTCGTTTTGGCAGTTGGCCTGGTAGTGGCCCTTCTGCCCGCACTTGAAGCAGGTGATCTGCTCGATCGGGCGCCTAGCACGTCCGGGAGTCTCGGTGTGCATGATCGCGGCAGCAACACCGGGGTCCTTCGGCGGGCGGGTCTTCGTCGTCGTGGCCTCGCGCTCAGCGGTCTGGGCCTGGCGCTCGTACTCGTTAATGAGTCGCACAATCGCGTAGTCGAGGGTGAGGTCGTCGGGAGGGGTCGCATCGAGGGAGATGGCGAAGGAAACGTACGAATCCGGTAACCCGTTCATCAGGACCAAGATCTGATCTTCGTCGGTAACGGTGACCTCGGCGGCTTCGAGTCGGAAGGCAGCGGAGGCGACAGCGGCGATCCACGCCTGCATCGAGCTGGTCATCTTCATCGCGTAGAACTTGCGGCGGAGCGAGAGGCGAGTCCCCAAGCCTCGGGCCTGGTGCATCGTCTCGAGCCTCGCCCAAACTTCGGCGGCGGTGCCTGCGCGGACGTGCGACAGCTGTGATCGCTCGACGCCAAGCGCAAGCTCGGCACGCGCCTCGTCGGTCTTCTTCACCCACGCTTTCACCGTCTTCGCCGAGTCACTCCCCATTGGCCTCTCCTTAGCCGTACCTCCGGTCACTTCCCACAGTCCCTTCCGGACCAGCAGGGCCTGCATCACTACAGCCCACTCGGCGTAGTTTGTCTCGTCGAGCTTAAAGATGTTGCTCGTCGTCATCGTCGCGTCGATCGTCGGTCACGGGGTCGTCGTCGGTTCGCAGGTACGTCGTTGGGTTCGCGGTGCGTGCGTCGGTAAGCGGGGTCGATCGGGCGCGCGGGTCGGGTTCAGGTCGATCGTCGGTGACGGCTTCGGCCCCGTCAGGCGGTCTCGATTTGTCCGTCGAGAGCGGATGCGCGTTTGTGTTGAACGAACGTCGGCGTTGGGCGGTAACGAGCGAATGGAGTGCACGAGCGGCGGGGTATATCGATAAACGAGTGTGCGGTTTGTCTCGTCCTCGGGGCGGGGAGGCAAACGCGCGAGGGTAGTTACATGCGAAAGTCGAACTAATATAGTTATTTCTTATCTAAATAAGGCACGAACCGGGTACAGTCATATCGCGCCGCAGCGCGGCGCGTCGGCGAGCCGGGGATCGGGTATGCGCTCGCCCGGTTGTTCCAACAGAGGTCTCGTCCAGTTTCGTATCACAGGTTCCTGGTCGAGACGATATGCTTTGGAGTGCAGCCGGTGTAGAGTGAGGGTTCTGAGGTTAGGAAATAAGGCGAGCCGGTGCAGGTTTCGGAATATCAAGTGGACATCCAACTCCACGACCATAGCGGCCAGATCGGGGTGTTGTCTTATGAGTACCTGCAAGCGTGGTAAATGTGCCGGCGTAGTACACTGAACCCTGTGCCAAAGATGGGTACGTGCTGTGGGCAGCCAGACCCGACAAGTCAGGCTGCATGTAGCAAGCGCGTCTCGGTCTTTCCGAAGGAGGTCGATTACGTGGTCCCACAGCTCTTGGGGCAGGATTGACAGAGCTGATGTCATGCAGATTCGGTAGGAGGGGTCTTTTAACACGCAGGGCCTTGTAGTTAAAGATGCTTGGCAAACGCAATCCTCTGCGATGTGGGCCCAACGCCTTGACCGGTGACCGCGACGCGCGTCTGACAGAGGTCAGTACGTAGAACTACTCAGGATAGAATCAGTTAAAACTCACCTATACAGTTGCGAGAGATCGACACTGGGCCACGGACGGTCTGAGCGAAGTCCTGAGCCACGCAGTACTGGTACATGACAGTGGACAGATGGGTGCTTTCCAGAGGAGGAGGAGGAGGCGCGGCGTCTCACAGCACGTGCATCGCAGTTACAGTAATTAAGGAAATATGACCGTTCTACTTAGTCCCCTAGGCAGACCCTAAAGAAGACCTCTTTGAGTGGGGGAGAGGACGGTCTTCTATGGCGTTCTACTTCCTCCGAAAGATTCACAGTCCCATTACGTAAGCTTTGCGGTCCCTTAGGGGGGCGATGTACAGTCCCGGTTATGAAGGGCTTTATCGGACAAAAATTATACACGGTAGTAGCTTAGCGCAGCACACGGTCCGGATCGCAAATGGCCCGAGCGGTTCTGGCGGGCTGTATCGGGCGCCGTCATGAAGCCTCGTGCTACCAAACCATCCCGCTTTTGGGCTAGGAATTCTGCCAGATCCTGATCTGCGCTGACTGATCACCTCACTCCCGGCCGTTTCTTATCATTTCCCGCCAAATCCTGTCTGGTCCTGAGTGCCCCTAAATGTTCATGCCATGTCGCGTACCGTTGCATCCCGTCATAGTCGGTAGTGCACGCCGTTTCATTCGAGATCTTCACAGGTCAGTTGCTAATTGGCATGAAAGTCTGAAGTCCTGTCCTCTCACCTTCCGTCCCTTCATCTCCTGTCCGCCTGTGTACCTTCGTCTCAACAAACAGTTGCTCCGCCATCAACAAGTGATTTTGTCCGAGCAAGTATTTCTGTCCAAGACCTCTCATGTCTACGACTCGGGTAGCCATGGTGCTCTACACGATCGGTTGCCACTGGCAGTCTATTCCGCTGTCTTGGTACTCCATGGTGAGCTCCTCCCGCTTGAGCATGAAACCGACCCAGTGGAACGTCTCAACTTGCCTTCAGCTCGCATCCGCCTTCAGCTCACATCCGCTTCTCGACAACCCTCACCCTCACCACATCTTTCCTGCCTGCCACTGCCATTTGAGTTCATTCTTTCACCCTACATCGCTCGTTCTCTGTTAGGAAGCACTGCTCCAATACCCGCCTCAAAATTATGAACACTGAGACATTTATTGGGACTCTACCGGGACCGTTGTAAGTCGTCTCCGAGTCGCTGCGATTTTCAATTCTTCTGGGTCGTTTTGAGAAGTTGTCATCCTGACGTCTCTTCCAGTTCTGCGGGTATTGTCTCGCAGCCTCATCCTGGTCCACCGTTGCGACCTGGGTATGTTGTTCCCTTGTCAGCACAGGTATCTATTGACCGCCTGCATTACAGCTCTAGATCGAATACACCTGTAGTCAGTGCTCCTCCGCTTCAGCCCATCCCGCACTTTCCGCCTATCGCTGGTCGAGGTACACCTCTTGCTCCGCCAATTCAAGCGTTCCAGCTTCGACCACCCTCCTCGCAGTCGTCCGATGTGCGACGTGCCCAAAGTGCACAGTTGCTGCCACTAGATGCTTCACATCGTGGTCAGGTGCGTGTACTTCGCGTTTTTGGATGTTATTGTGTTTTCTGAGGTGTCCATGCATAGGCTCTCACTGCGCGTGCGCAGTTTGCACCAGGTGAAGTGGTCGACATCATGATACTGCCATGCTCGGTATGTTGCACTTATTAGTACCTGCATGTTCCGTGCGGCGTTGTCTTTCTCTTCTCATGCCATACACCGTGACAGCTCCAAGAGGGGAAACGACTGTTCAATCAGGGGCCTTTTGCAGTCTCGGAAGCGGAGAAACAGACACTGTTTACACTCCTCAGAGACCATGGCTGTGTTGTGACTGTGACATTGGATGAGAACGCCCCGCTCAGGCCTTTGCTCGATCAGCACATTCGCCAACAGTGTGAACGTCATCGATTCACGCTGCTCAGCTCTCAATCGACCTGGACTCTGCCTGGCCTACGCATCCTCCAGGGCACGAAGCTTCAATTCGTCCAAGCGAGCTCGCAGACACTGATCAACCCCGCCTCATCTCTGACGTCAATCAAGCGCATGTATGCCAAACTGCAGGGCGCCTTTGCCCCTGATCGGGTTGTCATTCCTGTTGGTACGTTGACATCGTTGCATGTGACTCTGCGCTGTGAGTCCTGATCCATCCAAATCCATTAGTCCCCGCCAACGGTGCGGTCTATGCGCCTATCACTGCCTTGGTTGCGCATGATCATTTGAGTCCGGACCATGAACGGCCACATCGCTGTTTTTCCGCTCGCTTCTTTGCACTTGTCCGCCCTTCCTCGCATGCCAGCGGAGTTATTGACACCTTCTGCACTGAGAACGAGTGTCTTTCCGCTTTTTCGTCTCTTCCTTCGGACTCGGGTTCAATTATCGCACATAATACTACTACTTCGCCTCATACCACAACATCTTCGGCCTCTCTCCTGCCTCCCATAGTCCCAGTTCTTCCGAGTCGTCCTAACACTGCAGATTACGCTGCACCACACGTGTCAGTTAACGTTCCTGCACCTCATCCTGTCCAGCCCTTTTTACCCTTGCTGAATCGCGCCAATTCACGGACTCCTACTCTCATAGCTCCAGCCCAGGTGAGTATGCAAATGTGCGTGTGGCGGGTGATTGCTCATATGGTTGATATGTGCTTCAGTCCCTACAGAGCAGTCCGCAGTCCATGGCTATTGACCCTCAATTGCTTGCACTACCACCTTCGACTCTACCGATCTTCACCCCACCGACTATGCTAGCTCCACAACCACCTTTCCCATCCAGACGAAGCTCGCCATCCCCAGATCGACATGTTGAACATCGTCCTATGCCCTTCCCCGACCTTGGTGCACTGTACTTTCCATCTGATCGCACAGTGCCGGTTGTGGGGCTCCGACACTCTCGTTCTGAGAGCATGGATGGAGCCTACTGAGTAAGATTTAACGTTCGGAACGTTAAACCCGGAGTGAGATTCGCCCGTCTGGAACGTGGCGGCCGGCGCCGGCCGGAGGGGTCCGGGTCCACGTTGCAGACGTGATCGTTGCCAGCGGTCCGGCCGGAGAGCATGCCGGCCGGTTCTGCCTCGTCGCCAACGTTGCGGCCGGCGCTCCCCTCCTCAACTCCCATCCTGAACGCTTCACCCGGCCCCTTTTCCCGAGCGTTCCAAAGCTCCGGCCGGAGTGCGTCCCAGCCTACCCCCACTGCTCAACGTTCCGCCCGGCCCCTTTTCCCGAGTGTTCCAACGCTCCGGCCGGAGCACGTCCCAGCCTACCCCCACTGCTCAACGCTCCACCCGGCGTATTTCCCCCAGGGTTCCAACGCTCCGGCCGGAGTGCGTCCCAGCCCACCCCCACTGCTCAACGCTCCACCCGGCGTATTTCCCCCAGGGTTCCAACGCTCCGGCCGGAGTGCGTCCCAGCCTACCCCCACTGCTCAACGCTCCACCCGGCGTATTTCCCCCAGGGTTCCAACGCTCCGGCCGGAGCGCGTCCCAGCCCACCCCCACTGCTCAACGCTCCGCCCGGCGTATTTCCCCCAGGGTTCCAACGCTCCGGCCGGAGCGCGTCCCAGCCTACCCCCACTGCTCAACGCTCCGCCCGGCCCCTTTTCCCGAGCGTTCCAACGCTCCGGCCGGAGCGCGTCCCAGCCTACCCCCACTGCTCAACGCTCCGCCCGGCGTATTTCCCCCAGGGTTCCAACGCTCCGGCCGGAGTGCGTCCCGCTGCGCCCGGCCTTGCCTGTCTGCAAAACCGGCACCCCGAGATTACATTGGCCACTCGGGTGATACATTGTCCAAGGGACTACGCTAATTTTGGTGATGGGACATCATATTGTGATTTCACATCAATGTGGATAACTATTGATCTATGCTGCGGGTGGAGGCATCCACTCGTGATCTTATCCAGGGCATGAGGTAGCCTCATGGCGAACGGAAGGTACCCACGAGGCCGGTTTTGTGCGGGGATGTCTGGCTGATATATCTCTGCGTTGCCTTGAACCCTTGCGACACTGCTCATTCCCCTGTCTCTGCCTCATTCATACGATGATCACACCGGAGCAGGTGCGCGTCCAGTACTTCTCGTATTTGGACGCGATGTATCTTCGCTTCCTCTCGGCACCGGAATCGCGCGCCCCGCGTGCTCCACTCCCCGGACTACTCCTCGATGTGTATCTCGTCCGCCAGGCCCGGCGTGCAGCTGAGATGCTTGCAAAGGCGTTCAATAATCGACGTACGTGCCCATAAGTTCTCAGCTTCCATCGTCATTTACTCATTCACGAGCAGTTACTTTGCCGTGGGATGCAGCGACTCATCCATGTGCCGTCCCGGACGACGATGAACTGGCCACGGTGCAATACGACGATTGCGCAGATCCCCTCACCATCGAAGACAGTAAGGGCCGGATGTTGTTGTGGCACCTTCCCGGCGTGATTATAGAGCCCTTTGAGGTACGCCGGAATCCAGAGGGCATTTGCCGACTGTCTCTAAAACATCACATAAATAAAAGGGTGTAATATGGGATGCCACGATGGACCTCAACCCACTCTTGGCCCGGAACCGCCCGAAGGCTAGCGCGGGCTGGAGGGAAAATATCGCGAACTTCCGGCAGCCGCAGGAGGGGGACGAGCTCGTCCCGGCATGTGTGTCGTTTTCACCGGGATGGTTCCAGCTCGGACACGATGTACGTATTGCAATAGGTTTTGACATTATTTTTCTCACAAAGAGCAGGGCGCGGACGATGTGCCAAGTGTCTCTCGGCTGCTCGCAGATCCGAACACTGCCCTCGCTGGCCGGGCGTGGTTGGCCGAGATGATCTATCCGCATATCATCATCTCCGGTATGCTGCACATTATGCACCCGGATTTATATGACGCCGGTATTGCCTCGGTCGAAGCCTTGCGAAGCGATCCAGACCGGGCCAGCGTTGTGGATACGTGGCAAAACCCATTCAATGCGCTCTCGGTGGTGACAAACCGCGCAAGCCCGGTTCATCGCGACAAGATGACTCCTCTGAATGTCTACGACATTTTGATGACCATCGGGGGCGATCGCGAGCAGGTCATCCGGTTCCCGACATTGCATCTCAGGCTTCCCTATCACAGTGGTACAGTGACAGCGTTTTCGGGCACTCGGCTCCCCCATGAGGTTCCGCTGTCATCTGCGGAGCGGTTGTGTGTAGCGTATTTTATGCGACGGAATGTACATCGCTGGGCAAATGTGCCTTCTGCCGGTTGGCGCAGCACTGGAGAATGAGCAGGACCGGGAGGCGGGGAGTGTCGTTAGGCACGGGAAATGGCTGGAAATTGGGCACTCCGTAGCTATACGTTTCGGGGTCCATAACCAATCCATGTTCTTTGCTCATCGCAATATGCCCCGATGCGCATAACCCACACCGAGACATTCCGTAGGTTCGACCGGGGAAACACAGGCACAACTCGGTAACATCAACATCGCAGTGGTGCAGCAACACAACATTAACGTATCAGTACATGACAGTCTCATATGATACCACATTGGACACTACTTCGGCGCAGACTCAATCACCCGGAAATACGATGCAGTGGCCGGGGCCCTTGGAGTCTCGCCGCGCTGCCATGCTTCCAACTCGGCGGCATTCGCTCGTGCGGCAGCATGCCAAAAGTTCAGCTCGGCCTGGATATAAATATCCATGACTTGCATCGCCTTGCCCAATTGCTGCAACCACTTCATCGCATCCTTTGGTATGCTCGCCCGCATTGTATCCAGGTTCAGTTTCGCCGGGAGCGGGAATCTGGGCAGGTGTACTCGATTGATTCGCTCCGCGCCAACAGTGACGTTGTCCTAAGACATTTATTAGTATGACGGTTTAGCATGGATGCGTTCAACCGCTCAACATACCCGCAATGTCTCCAACTTGAGATGCTGCGAGACACGCCGAAGCTGATCCTTGGATGCTTGGAGCTGGTCTTTGATGATCTCGTCCATATTGGCCTGGCTTGCTCTCAGTTCCTCCACCACGGCCTCCGGGGTTATAATTTCGGCCGGGAGCCCGCTCCCGGGTTGATTTATCGTGCCTTCAAATGCCCGGGATTAGTCTTGCCGGGAATGTGTGCACGAGTGCGAGCATTACCTCTGTGGTCTACGCCTGATGCTGGCATTGTCGGGAGATTCCCCGGCGTTGGATCTTCACATTCACCGAACATTGTCGCTCCCTTGATTATATTCGTAACAATGTCCACCTCTTCAGCCCCCGTGGGCGCCACAATCTCACAATAGGTAGGCATGGCCTCGGTGAGACCGTAAGCTTCGGCGACCTTGGGCTTGAGGAGCTCCTGCAGGCCAATCATGAGGGCAGACACCGACTAATTTGGTTGTTTGTTAACAGGCCTTGTGAGCAATACGGGCCACACTCACGAGGCCGACAACGAAGTTGTCAAGTGCGCCGGGGGCCGCGGGATTCTTCTTTGCTTCGGCGAGCGTTTGGAGAGTCTTTGGGATCATGAGATTGGTTTTAGTTTCTTCGAGCAGCTTGGCGAGGTTTGCATTCATGTTGACTATGAGGTTCTCGGTGAAGACCGCCTGGACTGTGTAATCGCAATGGTAGTTGATGTGGACACAGCGCGAGTGGCAATGGAAGCCTTATCAGTAAGAGATCTTCGATTGAGAGCACGTGATTTCCGGCGGGTAGGGTTGCCTTCTTCGGTATGGCATGCTAGGCACGTGTGGCGCATTGCCGAGACATGCCTTCTCGCAATTCGCGTGGTGACAGCATTTGTGCTCAATCACCCCCATCACACCCTCCTTCTACATTCAGCCTTCATTTGTTTATCCTCGCAATATGGCGATGGTTTGTTCCCATAGCTCCGACCAATCCCATTTTGTGTATTGACCGAGATTGACAGTCATACATTCCGGAAACCTTTCCATTTATCAGATGGGAGCTCCTTGCATTTGCGTTGTCTACCCCGTGAGTGGTTCCCACGGTTCATTGGACAACACCTGTCTCATGTTATTACTTAGGCATGCCGAGGCTGTCCCCGAGGGGCCACATGCCTATTCGATCCACCGATATCTTTTCGGGGAAGTTATCTTCTCGGTCTCATACGAAACGACCGTGTATCCGTCAGCGTGCCCGAGACCGACCGCCAGCTGGACAGAATCATGTTGCTCTTTGATTTTGTTGAGACACGAGATGGGTTGTTGGACGGTTGATTGTGTGGTCACATCCGTAGTAGTGCTGTCATTTGCTATCGTGCTTTCCACTCCTGTGAGTTACCCAGGGTCATCACTAATTCCCCGAGACTTCGCCTGATATTCAACGATGGTTGCCCGGTCAAATTCACCATCTGTGTCGGTCATTTGTCTTCCCGGTACTGACAGTCCCTCCAACATTGAACACACAGCATGTGCTTGAAACACCAATCTTAAGAACACAGACACACCTCTGGCCGAGAGTTTCCAAACTTGCTCGGGCCGAGAGTTTGGGAACCTGCTCGGGCCGAGAGTTCGGGGAACTGCTCGGGCCGAGAGTTTGGGAGACTGCTCGGCCCGAGACTTTGGGACACTGCTCGGGCCGAGAGTTCGGGGACCTGCTCGGGCCGAGACTTTGGGACACTGCTCGGCCCGAGCGTTCGGGAATGTAATCGGGCTGGGAGTTGGGTTCACGGTGGATCAGTGATCAATGTATTGCTCGGCCCATAAGAGTTATGTCCCCGGGATGATGGTATCACCTGCGAGCAACATCCATTGTATTCAATGACGGTCGGTACAGCTAGGTCATGACATTCTGGTCAATGTATAAATCCCGCCATGCCACTTTGGCATCTTGATGCAGCTGATCAAACAGTGCAGCCTGTGCCCGGCAGTGTTGTGAGAACCCGGGGTACTCGGCCTCCGTGTTTCTCGTGGCTAGCTGTCGCCACCGGGATGCTTCGTAGGCAAAGTATCGGCACACGGAGTCAAGCTCCCGACGCAATATGGCAGCTTCCTCCTCCAATCTGTCTACCTTTGACCGTGCGTGGAACCACTGCACTCGGTGAACTGTGCTAAATGTCAGCAAAGTTGTCAATGTCATGCACGTATGTTTCCTACTAATTCCCAACTCGTCATTGCTGCGCATGTCGCCACCGACGTTGACATTCCATATCCACGAGGAAGACTTGTGTCTTTGTCCTCGCTTGTTAGGTTCAGCAACCGCAGTTACCGTCTTTAGATCATCGGCGGTGAGCTGCTGATACTTTGCTTGTTCTTCCTCGGACAGCCCAAGTACTTGCATGGCGGCCCGGGCCCGGCGATAAATGGCGGCTTGAAGCTGCACAGCTCGGTCGAGGTTTCCCAGCTTTGTGAAGGACCGGGTGCGCTTCTTGTTGCCATCAATCCTCCCGTGCCGAATGGTCGTCCGGAACTCAAACGACTTCTTGCCAATGAGAATCCTAAGCTGCTGCAACGCATCATTGGCTTGTCCACGCCGAAGGGTCAGCTCATGTGCCGCCAATCGTTGTAATCCATTGGCAGCAAGTGCATTCCGCGAGAAGTTGGACGGCAAACCCAGTTTTGTGTGCTCAGACGCTTTTGATGCGTACGGAGCAGGGGGTTTACTGGAAAGATGTGCCATGGGTTGTTGGCGACTGCGGCGTCTTCCTCCCATTCGTCCGCCGAGTCGTCATCCACCACTTCCTGCTCCGCCATTCCCCACTCATGCCGCCGGTGAATGGACGCTGCTCGACGGTGAAATCGCCGGATTTGACTCTCAAGTGGCTTCCTGCGTTTCGCCAATTTCAATTCCTGCGGCCCTGTGACTGCGGCCCCCATCTTCTTCACGTCCTTCTGGATTGCGAGTCTCCAATTCTATCAAAACCAGTTCGGACAACCGGCATAGATAAACTCACTGTTGTTCTTCTAGCTTGAGGCCGTCTGCAATCCAGTCCGCTGTCCCGACGCGGTCGTCGCCGTCACCCTCTTCTTCCGCCAGCTTTATTTGAAGTTCCAGTCGCGAAGGCACTGTGATCAAATAAGACCGGAGCTTCGCATGGAGAGCCAGATGCACCCACTAATCTGTTTCTTGGCCTGGTATCTATCCATTACCTTGACGTCCCGAAGCCGTTTTTGCTGTACTATCCTCAGTTCCCGCCTCCAAGCTCCCAAAACTTCGGCATCGACACTGGCCTCCTTCGCGGTCAAGTCGGCCTTCATCTCCGCCAGTAGTGGGCGATTCGCTTTGATTTTCCTTCTCAATGAAGCCACTGTAGATCGTCAACCCAGGTGTCTCCCAGCATCGTTGATAACCTACCCATTGTGATCATTTTTTTCCAGTTCCAGTTGTTCATGTGCCGGTCGAGAGTTTCTTGCCGGTGGGATGTTGACATTGTGCGGGTGCTACCTGACACGGGATTGATCCCTGACCATTGGGTTTCGATGATCTCGCCGTCGGCTTCCCCGGCACCCTCGGTGAAGGTGAGTGAGTGTCGGAGCTCGCATTCGGCCTTATGTCCGTGAATGTGAAAGAGCCCGATGCACTTGTATAACACCAAGCCTCCGGGATAGTGAAGGTGAGGATTGTCGGCAAACCGGTCGTTGAGATGGACATGGTACTGGCACATTATGTCGTACGATAAGTAGACGTGGCCAATCCCTCTTGAACGATAGCCGAGAGCATTGGACAGGGAGTAGTCCATGTTCATCTGACGTTCACCCTTCTGATAGTTTACGACGGAGTGCGGAACGAAGCACCCGTGCCTCAAACAGGATGTTGCGCCGATCCCGGTGACAGCGAGCTTATGCCGGTCGGCGTTGGCCTGGGAGACGGCCTTGTGGTCGTTGCAGCTTGAGTGCTGTGGACGTGTTAGCCACACGTTCGTATGCCGGCTGTATACACCCTCACCATCTTCACGTCCTTCGCTACTTTCAGGTGCTCCTCGTATGGGCCGGGATGAACCATGAACATTTTCCCCGGCATCAAAGGCACATCGTTTTCCGGCCGCCGCATTTTCATTTGCTCGGCATGGAAGTTGCCATCCATGACATATCCTCGGGCGTATAGGTACCTCGCGTACCAGTCAGCTAAGTCAGATAAAAAACTACATTAACAACATACTTCCGGTCGTCTACTTCCCAGTCCATTGGGATGTTTACTCCGGGCTGCGGACATGCCGGGCAAAAGTGAGCGAGATCTCCGTTTCCTGGAGCCTCCCGCCACTGTGGCCCGAATCCGAACTGTTTCTTCGCCTGAAGCAGTGACCATTCGCGGCTCACTCGGAGCAACTCGAGATATCGGTCCTGTTCCGTCTGAGTTATTTGGGTATGCAGGCGTTCCGGCGATGGACTCACCGGGACTTCATGCGGAAAGGCCGGATTGGTGGCCCGACGAATCCGCTGGTAGTAATTCATCGCCGTGGTCTTGCACTCCAGATTATCCAGCAAGAAGGCGTCAAGGACGCTGAATGTGAAGCACGTGCGAGCCTTCCGCTGACTCGCTGGATAGAGGCCGGCATCCAACAGCTGCGATGTATGATCACCGGCGCCCGGACATCCGCACCACGTCACCGGAAGAAAGTGCACCCCGGTCGTGTCAACAATGGTCATCATGGCTGGTGGAGGTCTTGGGGGCGAGTCGGCGCAACGTAGAGGGTCGCCCGGTACCTCAACCTCGTCGTCGCCGGTGGCATCGGTCGTCCTATCGGCTTCCCCTTCCTCGTCATCGTCCGCGACAACCGCCGGCACGGGACATTCCCCTCCTCGGTGCCCGAGGTTGATTGAGACTCCAACTTGACGGAGCCATGCAGGTTCCCAGTATCCCCCGAGATTCCACTGCTCCACCCGGTGGAACGGTGTTCGCTGGTGCTCGGCGAGACAACACGTCGGGCAGAAGATTGGATAGCCGATGCAGGACATGCACTTCCATACCCCGCCACCATTGTTGCACCCGGCGCAGATATAGCTACCCTCTGTGTTGAGCGCAGGGGGTTGGTAGTGCTTGTACAACGAGCGGAGATAGTTGTGTTGAAGGGGAATCCATTCTCTCAGCATATCGGGTTGTGTCTGCCGGTGTGGGTGAGGCTCGGGCTACAACAATAGTCGGAGCTTCTGTGTACCTGTGGGGCACCCTGACGAACTGAGCTGAAATCGCAGAACGTTGTGTTGGCAACATCGTCGGTTGGTGGTGTCCAGCTGGACTGTCTTGTCGCCGACCGAGCGGTTCGACGGGGTGTAGCCGGTGGAGTCTGTAACCCGCTGTTCTGTATCTCGACGAGTCGTGTACGCACACCCCTTGCCGTAGCTCGTTTCTTCAGCGTGAGCTCCACCACTCCGGGTGAGGTTGCCGCTGGCCGCAGTCGACCCATCGTGTTAGGACAGCAATCACCCGGCCGGCAGTTAGACAAGGGAAACGTGCAGTGTCGTGCACCCTTCGATGTTTACGCACTTCTGGCCTTCCCATCCATACTCACCTATCCCCCAGTATGTAGCGTGCCGGCCGCACGTGCACCGAAGACAGTGGGGCCGGGACCGGGGAAACCGATGTGAGTCCCAAATGTATCATTTCAGCCCAAATCAGACTGGATTTCGGATTGAAATCATTGTTCCCATGAGAAGCGAGCGCATAATAGGCCGGGCGGACGCTAACCATCTGCATATACAATGATGCGGCCGGCAAGGTGTCGATCAGAGCGGCCCGGCCGGCCTGCCGGGTCACGTGTCGGGTGCGAGACGTTTCATGCGGGCAAACGAGGTGCCAGAAGGATGTTGTGGGTTGGATTTAGACCGACCCATCAGTTTCAGCCAATAGATGGAGTCACAGCCGTCGCCTGTTCGGGGCGGCCGGTCTTGGGTCTCGTTGAAACGGGGTAACCGGAGTCACCGACCGGAGCCGGCGTGGTGTTAAATCTGGATAGCGCGAGAGGGCAACGGCGGCGTCACACGTTGGTGACAAAACTGATTGGAATTCTGTACCTTTTTAACCAGCCGGGCCGCATATTCGTCCTATCGGGGCGGCCGGATTCGGCGACTGGGCAAGTTGTACTAACGATATTGATTACCTTGAAATCAATAACCCAACCCATTTCATGGAGTTGGGTAAACTTGCAATTCCTTGGCTCTCCGTGCAAGGTCACAGTTGACGGATTGTGACGAACAGACCCTCAGGATCTCTGACTTCGTAGCGCCGAAGCTACCCACCCCTTGCTGTGACTACGTTCGTCGACACACCCCACCCTACTCAACCTGCACCTTCACTGCATTCACCACGCTCGCCATGGGAAAGTCTATCTGGGAGGCACCGGACATCGTCATTCTCGAAAGCAATCTGAAGGCCTGGCAGGAGGCTCCCGATGATCCCGAGGCCCGCCAAGAGCTTGTTGACAACAGCATTGAACGGCTTGAGGCCCGAAAGCAATTCAAGTTCGACGCCGATTTACGAAAGGTACGTGCGCGTGCGAACGGCTTGATGGGATAGTCAGAAATGACCTCCGGTAGCGCGTCGGGAAATGGTACTCGAACCGGCGAGGGACGAAGGAACAAGTCAAGAAGGAGATGTTCAAGCTCGGGAGGGACATAACGTGGAGGACGGTGGCCGCCCGGGACCGGGAGGATGAGCTCGGGGAGATCATGACAAGAATTGGTCGGGAGAGGGGCAAGGATGGGTCGGATGAGGAGGAAGACGATGAGGAGGGGGAGGAGGAGGAGAAGGAGGAGAAGGAAGGAAAGCTAGTGACCCGGCACGACATTCCGGGCATCTACCAAACCGCCCTCAAGGAACTCTGCGACAATCTGTCGCCGGAGGACCAGGCCGAGTACATGCAGGTCGCAAAGGATTGGAATACCCAGGTGTGGCCAGCCGACCTTCAACGCAAGCAGCTGGAAAAACACGGTGCCAACATGATCCGCGATTTCATGAAGATCATGTGGAGGAAATGCGGGATGAGGGTGTTTTTGCTCGGCGGGATACTGATGGGTGACGGGAAGACCGGGGTGTTGGAGTATGTGTAATGGTGGTAATCTAATGGTTCGGTGTCCTGAATGCATTGTCAGGTTCGACTTTAACGACGAGATGAATCTGGAGGAAGGCGCCCCGAAGGTTCCGAAGTTCACCGGGAGTCACCCCGACTGGAAAACGGCAATCATGTATGATCTGTGGAAGACATACATCGAGGAAGCCTTTGGTATGTGAGAAGATTCCGCAGTGTGTCCGACAGCATCAGGAAAAACACTTTATGTGCCCAAGAGAGCGCCTGATTTTCAAAGTAACCCAAAGTAATGTATAAGTGTGACCAAACACTTTGGAAGTACCTGAGATATATTTCAACGCTTTGTATACCGTAATCGCAGTCAATTTGGAATTATGTTAGTCTCTTCACTTGCTCTTGACTTGATTTCTCTGGTAGGCATAGCATCCATTTGATTTAATTATCATCTTAGAGGGCCAACCACTGGCGGGATTACGGATACATTTTTTAGCTTGAGGCTCGCTATTGTGGGCCCGTAAATCCATTTCTATTCCGTATGAACTGTACCATGTGTTACAGGCGTGACAGAACTTATACTGGCAACGTCAAACTGGGTGGTACTGAACTCCTTCTGCCACAGAAAGTCGCGTCCGAGTCCATGTCCTTGTTGTCAGCACAGACCAGAAATTTCATCCCCAGCTCCCTCTCCAAAAAATACAAAAAGACGGTACAGAAAAGGGCCATGGTAACGGGAACTAGTCGATACGTCTACCTAGTTCTCGTCAGTCGCCATCCTACCATCGGAACTCTGAGCCTCCTCGTCCACATCCTCCGGACCATTCATCGTCTCCACCGCGCACCTCCGATGGCCTTGGGCGGGCGTGAAGACGTGAGCTCCGCGGAGCCGATCGAACCTGACCACGGACAAGGCGTTGATGCGGCTGCGAGGATATGGGAGGTCCACCGGCCAGATGACTCGGAACCGGTAGGGGTACATGTCCGCCAGGATGCCGCCCAGAGGACTTGCAGGCCGCATTCCTTTAGCCCAGGATGGGTGCCAGAGAGTGCCGTGGATATGCTCGTACTTGATGACGATTAGGTGGCGAAGGGGTAGGGCGATGCGAATCGGTTCGTCGACGGACGCGAGGGGAACGAACCTCTCTTCGTCGACGTCGTAGATTTCGAAGCGTACCGGGAACTCGTTGGGATCCCGCTTCCAGCGGTTCAGGCATGGAATGACTTGCTCGTGACGGGCTGGCGGAACGGAAGCTCTATCTCCGAGTCGCCGTGCACGCGGCACATAAGGGGCAACATCATCGGGACATAGAAATTCTGCCCGGTCCCTTTGAGCCCTTCAACAATACACGCAGAGACCAACAAACGCACCTCGAAGTAAAAGAAAACCTCAACCACAGCTAGCTTGTCCTTCTGGTAAAGACAATGCGGGAATCCAACACTCCGGTGCCACGCCTGGATGCCTCCGACGAAGAAGAAGCGGTGCGGTGCGTCCTCCGGCAGTATGTTGTTGATGTACGGGCGCACCACGGCGATGTCGCGGTCGTTCGGCTGCAACGTGCTCAGTGACGTACAGCAGGATTGGTGAGGGATTGGGCACTGAGTAGATTCTGTCAGCATTCAACAAGACAGCACCGCATTACTAGGGACTCACGTGGCTCCACAACGTCCCTAATCCCGTCCTGGATATCTCAACCACCGTTAGGTGGTTAAGGCAACCGTTCTGCAGTACGGGACACGGCTTGGCGTTCTTGCAGACCTCGCGGAAGGGAGGAAGGAAGGTCGATATGTCGAACTGGAGGCGCGAGTTCAAAGAAGACATGGCGGTAGACGGGTGGATGGTGAAGTGAGTGAGAGTAAAACAAAGTCTTCGCAAAGAGTGCGAGAGCGACGTGCAAGCGTTGAACAAGGCGTGAGAAGTTTTGAAATATTAGCGCCGAACACAGAGACACGCGCGCTTCTGGCTCAATGAGCCTGTAAGATGGAAGTTCAATCTATTACATAGCTCAGTAGACTACCAGAGTTTGATACACGTACAAATCACCCCAATTGTCAACATAGAAGGTACTCGCCTTATCCAGCACGTTCTCAGATGCCCATGAGTCCGGAACGAACGGGTGGATGTTCATCCCCTGCCCGTAGAACTCCTGTCCATTGACCGCGAGATGCCACTGATCCCCCACCCAATCCCCGTGTTCGCGACGTCATCCGTAGTGGTCGCTATACGGCGTCTGGAGCAACTTGATCCACCGGAAAACCAAACACACCGTGTACGACGCTGTGACGATTTGGTACCAAGGTTGTCGCCCAGCGCAAGCGTGACCGCGAGATTGTACAGCGTCGGCCGGCTGAGGTCGGCGGGCCACCACCGCGTGCGGACACCCTCTGGTGCGGACATGCTCGCCATGACGAACGTGGGCTGGTCCATGTGTGCTCCCTGCCATGTTCTGCACAGGTAGCCAGGGATACAGCGGAGGCCAGTGCGGTGACGACGGACACAGAAGGCGCAACGAAAACCTTTCGCGTTGGTTTCTTCGATATTGGAGGAACTTGAATGAAGTAGGTTAGGCCCAATGATGAAAGTTCTCGAGCCACCCGTCCCACATACGCAAGAGCACATGACGAAGGGAAACACGCACGTATTCACTAACTATCCACTAACACCACCTGTCCACTTGACACGTAGAACCCCTTGGGCTGTCCATGCGCGAAGAAGGTTCGCTCGTCTTGCGCGAGCGCAGAGTCGTCGATGAAAGGGTCGGCCGTGTGGTATTACTCGGAGGCACGGTTCTGTTGCATAGAGCAATGAGCGTACGCGCAGCACAGCGAGGTTGTGGACGCACCTTTCTCCGCTTCTTCTGGAGCTTGTTGCCTACCCCTTCATCGTTGCCCTCACTGTTGCTCTCGTCACTCCTGTGGTGTTCGCGGAAGTAGGGCGTGTAAGCAATGCTGGCTGTGGTCGAGGGCTGCATTGTCGCCCTCATAGTCTTCGGGACCTCCGAGGGGTTATTGAGGTGGACGGTGCGCAGCGGCGGCTGGGCGGGAGACGGGGGGGCCTTGTATAGCCTTGAAGGTCTTTGGTTTAGCGCCAGTCGGGCCTGACGCGAGGTGGTTTTCGGTTTCGCGCCCTTGCCTCCGCTGTTCGCCTCGACAATGACGACCTCTGTAGCCTTCGCCGCGGGCACGGCCCACCAGGCAGTGTACTGATTGCAGAGGGCGACGGTGAGTGAGAGGAAGAAGAGGCGGGGGAAGAGTCGGCGACGATGGGGCTGTGATGCGGTGAAGGCCAGTCGGGCGACAGCCGTCAGCAGGGCAGAGGGCACACCCTCTCTGCACTCTGAATTCGCCATCCGGCGCAGAGCCTCTGCAGGACTCGGTGCATTGAGTCGGGGCACCATGACCCTTGTATGGCGTCATTAGTGCATGGAGAGCATTCCTGTTGCTCGCAAGTCAGTCAACCGTCATTCCAATTGGACAAGGTTACCACGCACCACATTCCACCTGTCCTTCTCGATCCCATCCATACCAAACATGACCCGTTCCTTCGTGGACTCTCATCCGACCTCACATCCTCGACCTCATCCACCCACGTCTCCGGACTGCTCTCTCTGGGTCGAGGAGAATTCGTGCGCGCGACTTGTAGTCGCTCAGCTTCGCGATCGCTATCGATACGCAGTGATTAGAGGTCCCGCTCGTAGCACAGATATACATATTGCCTCACCTAAGGTTCATGCAGGTGCACACCGTAGCCTTCCGCCCAATGTCAATCCAACTGTCCAGTGCAAGATGATGACGAACTCACCGTCACACTGAACGAGCGTGTTAAATCGGGGTCTGCAGGCTACAGGACCCGACGTGCGCAGGGAATGCGGCCTACTCGGAGGGAGATTATGAACGTGCACGGAGAACGGCGGCGGGCGTAGGGGATCAGCGGTGGAACGGGCACGCAAATGAACATGCGGGAAAGCGGCGAATAGGTGTGTGGGCACGCGAGTGAATGTGTCTCCAGGTGAATGAGTGAATAGGCGGCAAGTTGATGGGTGCGGGCAGTTGAGCTAGTGATGGTGGTCCATGGGTCGGCGGGCGAGCGAACGGATGAACAGGTGCGCTAGTCAACGAACGGATGGCGGGTGATCAGCGGTGAAACGGGCGTGCAAATGGCCGTCCGGGAGAGCTGGTGAATAGGTGGGGGCCCAGTGATTGGGCATGTGGGCGAGTGTCTGGGCGTGCGGGCGAGCGAACGGATAGGCGGGAAGTCAACAGGCGGGGATGCCATCCAGTCAATAGGCAGGTGGGCGACCGAGCCAAAGGATGGACGGGTGGTCGAAAGAGCGAGTCAGTTGGCGGGCGGACGAGCGAGCAGGCGTACAGGTACGGGAACGGCAATGGGAGAGTGGGCAGACAAGCATATGAGCGGGCAGGTGTGGGGGCAAACATGCCCATGGCACAATGATCCACCTACCGGTACCCTTACACGGGCGTACACTGGCGACAACAGTTATATTGCTTGGTACATGTATCGAGCTGGGGCGCACCTTTACTTTTGGAGCCTTCGCGCTCGCTGTTTCCCTTCTTCCCCGAGTCGCCCTTCCCATTCCAACCACCCTCCACCTTCAAGGTTGTTTTCGTGTTTGAAGGTCCAGGGGATAGCGCGAATGCATTGACATGCGGGCGGATAGGCGGCTGTGTGAGCGGGCAAGTAGGTGATTGGCAGTGACTGAGAGCGGACAGATGAGTACATGAGCAAGCGAGTGTGTGGGCGGACACGCACAAGGAACATCCGCAGACGAAGGAGCAATGGGCGTGGATACGGGCGAGCAAGCGTGCGTGAATACATTGAAATGGGTGCGAGCAAGCAGATGGATCGACGTGCAAGTAGTGCGAGTAAGTAGCGGCTTGGACTCGAGTCTGGCGGTCGTCGAGAGCGGCGCGCCAGGGCTTGCCTCGGGCTTACCTGGAATGGGATGTTGGCCAACCACTCGGTAGCCGCGGGACTCGTACAGCGCGCATGGGTCGAGAGGTGTCAAAGAGAAAACCCATATTCTAAAGTGAGTCAAACCGGCTTTGGAGCCCTTCAAAGCACTTGGTTAACTCTCCGAGCAATCTTAATTTGAGACTTCGCTGTGAGCTTCACCTTAAATATGTTGTTCTCCTCTGAGCTAGTGGTAGCCGAGAACCGTTCACCGTAGGAATACATGTTTGAGGATTTGTGCATGGCATACAGAGATGGGTTCAATATGAAAAGGTGTCAACTTCAATGGTACTCAAGCGGATTCTACCCACGAGTAGCCCCCGGTGCGGTTTGGAACGTAAGCTACTTCTTTGCCATTGGACATTACCTCCCAAATTTCCACCCCGTCTTCATCATCCGCAACATCCTCTGCCATGTGCGCTGGAGCGTCCACTGGCACCTCGCCCCCCACCACCTCCTCGCTGTATCCAGGCTCTCCCTTTAACGGACGTTCCAGGGTCATGGGAAAGCTGCGGCGTTTGAGGACCCATTCCGCACGCATGTGCAGACGGGGTATAGGAAGGGCGGTGGGCAATACGAAGGGCAGGTCATACATGCCCACCTTCATGCTGCACAAGGCACCCAGATTACGAGTGCCGAGGGCGATATCGCGCGGGTTACTGATGTGGTTGACGTGGGCGTACTTGAATACGGGTATGTGGGAAAGGGGGAGACGAAGGTGGAGCGGGGTGGTTAGAGTGAGCCGGCGGAGAGGAAGAAACATTCCGCTGTCTACATCGTAGACCTCAAATTGCGGTGGGTCTCCGTATTTCCGCTTCTTGAACGGATTGAGTCCAGGCAGCGCTTGCTCAGTGATTGGCTGGCGGAAAGGAAGCTCGATTTCATGGTCGTGCACCCTACACATGAGGGGCAACGACATGGGTGGACAGCGATCCTAGGTGTAGGGAATAAGCATTGTGTGAGTGTAGCCAAGATTTGTACGACGCACCTCATAGTATATATATACTTCGACAACACCTCTGCTCCCTTGGCTTTCGAGCAGGCAGGCCGGCAGTCCGACGCTGCGATGCCATTCCTGAACTCCTCCAAGAAAGATGAAACGCTCCTCGCACTGTGACGAGGGCAATTCGGTTAGGAACGGTCCAGCGTCCTTCATGTCACTTGGGCGTGGCTGGACGTTTCGCGCCACTGTCGGGCACTTCTGTCTATCGTAGACAGGACACTGACCCCGAGTGGGCTCATCAGTAATGAAGGATAGTTTCCAAGAAATCTGGGCCACTCACGTATTCCCATAGCGCGCCCCATTTCCCCTGCTTAGATACGGAGACCACGGTAATGTGGTTGATTGCTTCCTGCCACGGACAAGCCTGTGAATCCTCGCAAACGTTACGGAAGCTCGGGAGAAAGGTTGAGTACAAGTATCTGAGGTTGGCGTTTAGCGGCATGGCGGTGGACAGGGGAGGGGGCAGATGAAGTGGAGAGAATGTACTCAGAGACGCTTGGTGGAGGGCGGAAGCAACACTTCCGAGGGTAGCGCCCGGTGCAAAGAGAAGAGAATGATATTATAACTCTTTCACAATTAGAGACCTGCTTTCCCAGTACATTCCAATCGCTCTAGAAGTACACTACATGCATTCCAATTCTTACAACGTACGGAGAATATACGCGCAGCCTTGCCAGTGCATCCACCGCCCTAATCCGGCACTCTCGCACTCCCGCTCACTGTGTATGGCCCTCGCCTACGTCCCCCTAACCTTCTACGATCTCCACGGTGCACTCCGGGTCGTCTTCATCCGGGTGGACGAGCTCCCCGCCGTGAACGCGGGATACGGCATTGAGGCGGCGGCGCCGATAAGGGAAGTTGACCGGCCAGATGAACCGCACGTCGTACATCCCCGCCAGGAGGCTGCACAGAGGACGCAACGGACGGTCGCCAGGACCATACATGTGCGCGTATGGAGTCGCGATGATGTGCGCGTACTTGAACATGATGATGCGGGTAAGGCGAAGGGGAACGTGAATGGGATGATCAATGGAAGTGAGGTCCTGGAACCGCCGTGTCCGGCCGTTATAGATCTGGAAGGTCCTGGGCAATTCACCGGGAACCCGCTTCCAGCGGTTGAGACAAGGGATGACCTGTTCCGTGAGGGCCTGGCGGAGCGGCACCTCAATCTCTGTAGGGCGCCTTACTCGTCGTGCCTCGTATGCGCTGCACCCAGTCTCTATTCAAGGAGATCTGTCTACAGAGTGCATACAAAGCGGTGACGAGGTAAAGGCTGAGGACTCGTAGGTGCGCCAGCGCGCCATACGAGTCCTGGAGCAAACAAGGACAAATATGTAATGTAAAATATACCGTAACGGGGATATCCGTTACACTCTCCCCCACTGGACACGACCACGGGTCCCAGCGATAACCAGAGAAACAGAGAGAAAAAGGAAAGAAAGGAATAGTACATGCAACCACCCAACGGTGGTAGCAATTGGCAAGACAAAGATGATGTTGAACTGTAGACAGCGACAAACTACTTCACGTCAGTGAGCCGACACGACCGTTCACCATTGTCATACACAACTCGACAGAGTTGTGCAACCAGCATGTAGACTACTACTCGGACTCCGAGTAATAGTCTGCATCTTCGGAGTTACCCTCGTCTTCAGCAGATAGTGCAGAAGAACTGTAGGTATCCTCCATCTCGGACTGCTCGTAGTAGTCAGAGACTACTACTGCGTTTGCCCCCTCAGAACCTGGATTCGAAGAATCCCACGAGCTATGATGCTCGGACTCGGAGAGAGACTCTGACTCAACATGGTCAGAGTAATCCTCACGAGTTGTGGTATGAGGCTCCTCATCAGAGGAGTTGTACCAGTCGGAGTCATCCTGAGGTTGACTGCGAGGTGGTACAACAAGCCATCCCAGCTTGTTGTAGGCCCAATATCGCACCATCTCCATAGGTAATGGTGCAACCAGCAGAGGATCAAACTCGAGAGGAACCACTTCCAATTCCCTCTGGAAGTGGTCCCATGCTCGTCGAGCAGCACGAGAATATGTCCCCGGTCGCGGGGACATCTCCTCGATGGCCTGTCCACAGCTGAGTGCAGATCTCTTGCAGTGAGCCCAAATGGCCCACTCGCCATCACTCGCCGCGCATTCAGCCTCGTCGAAATCGTGGTCGAGCTGGTCCGCGAGGAGGCTGAAACACAACTCGCGCAACACCTCGTCCGTGGGCCATTGACTCACATCGACGGTTACTGGACGATCCGGTGTGCATGCTTGGTTCAAGACTGGTACTTCACGGCGCGAAGTACCATCTTCCCGAGTAAGGTCGTGGCCGAGACGGTCACCTGTATTCTGTACGTCGAGTCGATCGCTCGACACGCGTGGTACCGGTGGTACCTGTCTCGATGTTCGACGTGAAGCTCGTACGTCGAGCTCAACGCTGGATGTACAGCCCGTGACTGCGTCCGATCCCAGTACACCACTATGTGATGTACTGGCCACTCGTGAGGTGTACTGCACATTGAGTCCCTGGCTCAATGTGCGAGTAGCTGACCTTCGCGTCGAGTCCCCATGGATAACCTGTACGTCAAGCTCACGGCTTGGCGTCCATGTAGCTGCAGGATTCGAGACCAGTACATCTTCACGAGATGTACTGGTGGTGGTGTGACGCAAGCGGTGGCCGCTCGAGGCCCCGCTCCCTTCCCCTTTTTGGAGAGTGCCCCCTCTCATGAGGACGGTAGCCCCCTCATGCACCCGCACTGGTTCGGTCTCGGTACCTCCAATAGTAGGTGAACATTGCTGTTCACCTGTGTCCGAAGGTTCTTGCCTTCGTGCCGATGGGGCGTCCAGTTCATCCAGCTGCATCGGAAAACTTCCAACTAGCTCCCGGGAACGCGACCTTGTTTGGGCGCGCGACGACCTCCTCGTCGTGCAAGTCGACGCGGACACTTCACTCGAAGTGCCTGCCGTGCTGCGCACCCGCGAGAACGAAGATTCGTTCTCGCCAGATGTTCTTGCTCCTGACGTAGGATTATCAATCCGCGTCGAATCGTTCGACTGGGCCAGGTCCGGAGGAAGCAGCGACACATCCATCGTGGATGTGCTTGGCGGCGGTAGCTCCCGGTCTTGTTCGCTGGGCGTGCCAAATACCCCATGGTACTTGGGCTGGTGCTCGCCGTTGAAAGACACAACCAACTCGCGTCGGTCTTGCTGAACGCGACGTGCCGGTAGCACGTAGCGTCCCGACGGTTGCCATTGCTTCTCGGGTGCAGCCCATCGCACGTCTACCGTGGTAGGCGTCTTGGTCGACTGCTCGCAATCTACCGAATGGGGCCCGGCCACTATTCCATCCTGACATTCGTTTACGACGGTGGAATGGTTCATCCCAGTGCGACACGGCGGTGGCACTGCGAACCAAGAAGATGAGTTGGCGAGTACCTCACGGTACTCGCCCTTGGCAGTCGGACGATCATGTCCGTATGCCGTACCCTCTGCGTGCGGATCCAGTGGGTGTGCGAGTACCCTGGGGTACTCGCACTCCTCCTTAGAAGGATGTTCGGCAGCACCTACACTGAGCATAGAGCTCGATGGCGGTGCCGCACCCGTCGTGGCGAGGTGGGGCGAGTCGGTAGTGCATGTATGCGCTCCGGACGCGCCGCCGTGCGTGGCTGCTGATGCGACTACACTGTCGCTCTGTGATGTAGACGGGCCACTGTCGATTGCGACGACCTTCCGGGTGGTCGCGATCGACGCGGGTAGTGGTACCGTAGGTGGTGATGGCGGGGCGATTACCGCAAGGTACTCGCTGTCCTGGTCGCCGCCGAGCTCCTTGGATGAGCTCGCTCGCTCGTCGATCGTACCGCGTTGCGTGACCGTGCCAGTCGCGACCTGTAGGTCGCCCCGTGGGTCGTCTGTACCGCCGACGCACGTGGTGACTGCCACGACAACCGCATTGGTTGTCGTGGTCGTTACGAGTGGTGGTGGCGGTATAGGAGATGGTTGTAGAGGCGAGGGAGATACGTCCAACAGGGGCGTACCTTCATCTTTCGAGCACGTCTGCTCGTCTTCTTCGCGTACACTGCACCCTTCCCCCTCTCCTCCTTCTGCCTGACCGTCCCCATCGGAATCTCCTGCTTCCACTCCCTCGTCCACTTCTTCTCCGTCCCTGTCCTGCCCATCCTTCCACCCTTCGTGCGAGCTTCCGAGTGCGCGATCGTCCTGGGGCTCGTCGCACTCGTCGTAGTCTCCAGCAGTGTTGGGAGGCGCGGAGATGTCGACAGGATGTTGGCGAGGGGTCCCTAGGAGCGAACCATCGGCGAGAACTGTAAAGTTCTCGCCGGGTTGACGGTCGAGCAACCGTTCTGGTCGATCGGGATCCGTAAGCGCTGGCCGCTGCACTGTTGGTAGTGCAGTAGTCGGGTCGCGATCTCGAGCTCGCGCGTTGCTCGGGAATACGCGATCGTCGGGCAGCGCGCTCGTCGGGGCACCAAGATCGCGGAGAGAGCGGTGGATGCTGTTGCTGGAGAGGTCGAGGTCGAAGCCGAGGCCGAGGTCCGCCGCTTCGTCGAGTCGGTCGGGGTTGTATCGTGGACCTGTCAGCTGAACCGCGAGATGTTCAGCTGTCTTGGAACTACCGGGGGCTTGTACTTCCGGTTGGGAGTGCAAGTCTTCTCGGAGGTCGGCTGCGCGCGATTGAGGGCTGCTGGAGATGTCGTCGAGGTCGTCCAATGGCTCGGCCAGCTGAACCAAATGAGGTTCAGCTGTGCTGAAGCAGTCGGACGCCTGTACTTCCGTGAGGATGTACAGGGTGTCTTGAGGCGCAGTTGAGTGCGCGATGCGACTGGCCGACGAGGAGTCAGTGAACACCGCGTCACATCCAGTCGAGGTTGAATGGGGCACCTCGGACCTGCATCGTTGCTGGTCCGTTGTGCCGCCTTGCGAAATGAATAGTACGACCTCGCGGTCGTCCTCTAACACCGGCGCTCCGTCTTGCAGAGTGGGGAGTACGATCCTTGGGTCGCCCCGCGGCGCGATCGTACCCTCTCCATCGCTAGCAATGCGCGCGGCGAACTTCACGTTCGTCGCTACGATTGCCGGTGCGGGCACCGTCAAGGAGGGAGATATCGAGGCGGATACGTCCGTCTGGGGCGTATCCGCTACTCGATATCCGGTCGGGGAATTATGGGGCACGTCGGACGTGCAGTACTGCGCGTCCGTCGTATTGCCTTGCAAAGTGAAGGGTCCGGGTACGACCTCAGGGTCGTACCGCAGCTCCCGTGGGACATCCGGTACGACTTCGCAGTTGTACCTGTGGGCGGAAGTGCCATATTCGTGGCCAGTAGTGCGCACGACGAGCCTTACGTTCGTCGAGACGCCTACTGGCGCGGATACAGGGGGCATGGAGGGTACGACCTGGAGGTCGTCCCGCAGCACCTTGGGCGTGCTACCACCCGGAACATCAGGTACGACTTCGCAGTCGTGCCTGGGGACGTAGTTGCCATCTTCGTGGCTAGCAGGGCACACGACGAGCTTCTTGTTCGTCGCTACGCCTGCTAGCACGGGCACGGGAAGCGGGGGCTGCGATGCAGGAACGTACAGTGAGTACGTACCTGTGGTGGTCGAGCCTTCGGGCTCATGCTTCCTGCTCGCCCAGCACCCTTCCTCCCTCTGTCCCTGCGTTCCCTCCTCATCCTCGCTACTCCTCTGCCCCCTGTCCTTCTTCCGTTCTCCTCGATCTGCGTTGTCCATGGTCCGCTCAGTCTTGCTGCTCGGCGTTGGACTTGAACGCGCGTCGTTCAAGTCCTGGGTCGCGTGGCTGGGTTGCGTGTCGCCAGAGCCACGGGATAGGTCGCCAGAGTCATTAGCCTCGAGAGGGAGGTCTCTCAATTCGAGGCGCGAGACGAGAGGGGAGAGACGAGGAGTCAGGGAGGAAGAAAGTGGCGATCTGGTACCGCGAGGTACCAGGTCGTCGGTCGCCACCGACTGGACTGGCGGCAAGTCGGCCAGCCAGTTGCGAACACGAGTTCGCACTCGCGTTGGGACGACGCGCGCGTCTGGTTCGCCAGACGGGCGCTCGAGGTGGCTGCCCAGAGAGTGGAGGTGGTCGAGAACGGCGGGTCGGTGGTGGCGGTCGAGCGTAGTGCGGTGGGCGCTAGCACGCGGGGCGCTCGCCACGGACTCGTGACGCTCAACGCTCGTAGCGTTGAGCGCGTCGCGCGTCGCGTCGAGCCGGCTGCTCGTCGTGGCGCACACGTCGTTCGGCAGTGGCAATATATTTTTTGTATCGCGGCTCATTTCTGAGCGCGCGACGAGGGTATCTAGGGGCGTGGGCTCGCTTCCACTGTACATAGTACTACTACTGTAGTACTGTGTGCCTACACCCTCCCGAACCTGGAGATGCGTCGACTCGACGCACCGCTCGCTCAGTTCGGGTTCGAGCTCGGCGACAGGCCTGTCGTCGAACTCGGCGCGTGCACCATCCTTCGGGAGGGTGCCCGGCTTCGCTGCTTGGGCTGGAGCTGCCCGGGATAGTGCTTCCGGGTGGCTCTGAGCAGACCCAATGGCGGGCTCGGGCTGTTCAGTGCTCAGTGCGTGTTCGACCTCACGGTCGGACGGCGCCTGCTCTGTGGGTGCTCCGGCTGAGTTCTCCTGGTCGGAGGACTCAGTCCGAGCGGTCTGCGCATGCGATGAGCGGCTGCGACTGCTGCTGCTCGCCGCCGATAGTGCCTCGTCGACGGCGTCCATCAGATCCTTGCGGGTCTGCTTGGACTCCTCGAGCGCAGCATTGATCCGCTGCTGACTCGCCGCGGCTTCGGCGAGTGTTTGCTCGAGCCGCTCTTGGCTCGCGGCGAGCTTGGACTTGATCTCCGCGCGCAACGCCTTGAGCTTGCTGCGGGTGCCGCTACGGGATCCGCGACTGCTCCGGGTTGCTTCGGAGGGGTTGGTTGTCGATCCAGACATCTTGTCGAGGTCTTCCTGGGTCGACTAGAGAGTTTGATAGAGCATAGAGTTCGAGTTTCGAGATGTTGTTGCCTAGAGTAGAAAATCCCCAGAATAGAAGCTTTTCTGGAGCGCAAAAAAGTGTAGGGCGCCTTACTCGTCGTGCCTCGTATGCGCTGCACCCAGTCTCTATTCAAGGAGATCTGTCTACAGAGTGCATACAAAGCGGTGACGAGGTAAAGGCTGAGGACTCGTAGGTGCGCCAGCGCGCCATACGAGTCCTGGAGCAAACAAGGACAAATATGTAATGTAAAATATACCGTAACGGGGATATCCGTTACAATCTCGTTGTTGTGCACCCTGCACAGCAACGGGAGTATCAAGGGCTCCACGTCCTCCTACGGGCCTTGTGTGAGCCTCCTTAGTTGCTTTGAGATCATTGTAATACACGCACCTCGTAGTAGAATAGCGCCTCCACCACCGCCTTCCTACCCTCCGCTCTAAGACAAAGCGGCACTCCCGGGCTTCTGTTCCAACTCGATATCGCGCCGATGAATGTGAACCGCGCCTGCCAGTTCTGCGGCAGCAGGGTGTAGATATACGGACGGGCGATGGCAACATCCACCCGGTCAGGCTGAATGGCGCACTTCCTCGTCTTGCAGAGTTCAGACATGGGGCACTGACACTTTTTCATCAGTACTCTACAGCCAGCGAATGTTCTGACACTCACGTATTCCCACAAGGTCCCAATTCCCATCGTCCTCGAGACTTGGACCACAACGAGGTGGTTGGCAGAGCCCGGCGTCGTCGTATTGGGGCACGTCAGGTCGGTTCTGCAGATATCGCGAAAGGATGGCAGGAACGTCGACATGTGGAAAACTACGCGGGGGTCTAGGCAAGCCATGGTGCAAGACGATGGACGGCAGCTCAAAGGGGAAGCAGGGTGCGTAGAAATCCTTTTGAGAGTGATAGAAAGACGAGTCAAAGCGTTCGGGGACGCGTGAGACACACCAAGACATAGGCGCTTCCCACTCATGTGTATTTTTTTGCATTCTCGTACTTTTACACTAGGACATTGTTATTCAGTCTTCAAAAAAATAGTACACAGACGGTTACAAAGATGGGATGTACATGTATTCAGATCTCCTCAGTCCCCCACGGCCGTCTCACCATCCCAATCCTCCGCATCCGAGGCCGCATCCGAGTCCGCATCCGAGTCAGCATCCGAGTCGACATCCGTGTCCGCATCCGAGTCCCCATCCGCTGAGACCTCATCTTCTCGAACGTTCATTCTCTCCACGGTACAGTCCGGATCGCCCTCCGCTGGCGTGAAGACGTGAGGCCGGTGGTTGCCTTCAACCCGGACCACGGACAACGCGTTGATGCGGGTCCTGGGGAAATCGAAGCCCACGGGCCAGATGGACGGGCGGGGGTACATGTTGGCCAGGATTCCGCCCAGAGCCCCTGAAGGGCGGATCCCTTTAGCCCAGTAGAGGGGCCACATGGTGTCGTAGATACTCTCGTATTTAACGAGGATGACGTGCCGAAGGGGTAGGGGGATGCGAATGGGTTCGTTGACGGACCCGAGGGGAATGAACTTAGCTTGCTGGACGTCGTAAATGTCGAAGCGTGCCGGGTACTCCTTAGGGTCCCTCTTCCAGCCATTGAGGCATGGAATGACCTCCTGAGTGACCGGCTGGCGGAACGGCAGCTCTATCTCCCAGTCCCCATGTACACGGCACATGAGGGGCAGCTGGATGGGCGCAACGTGATCCTGCCCAGTTACTTTGAGCCCTGTATACATACACGCAGAGACTGACAAACTCACCCGGTAATAAAAGAATACCTCCACTATTCCTATCTCGTCCGTCCCTCGAAGGCACTCCGGGAATTCGGGGCTCTTGTGCCACGCCTCGATGCCGCCGACGAAAATGAATCGGTTTGGGCCCTCCTCCGGCAGTGCAGCGTTGATGGACGGGCGCACCGCGGCAACCTCATCGTCGTTCGGCTGCAACTTGCTGGGCAAGGTACGGCAGGGTTTGACAGTCCTCGGGCACTATGTATGCTTCTGTCAGTACTCAACAAGACTCATCATGGAACTTGTAACTCACATGGCTCCACAGGGTCCCCAGACCCGTCCTCGATATCTCAACCACGGTGAGGTGGTTGAGGGAACCCTTCTGCACATGGGGGCACCGCTTGACCTTCTTGCAAACGTCGCCGAAGGAAGGAATAAAGGTAGAGATGTGGAATTGAACGCGAGGATCCAAAGAAGCCATGATGGTGGACGGGTGGACGGTGAAGAGGATAAGAGAGAGCAAAAGCGTTTTCAGAGAGTACGAAAGCCACGCCAAAGCGTTGAACGAGGCGTGAGAAGTGATTAATTTACCACTAGCGCCGAACATGGGACCCATTGGCGCTCCCAATTTTGTAGGCGTAGAATGCTGCACTGGAGACCAGGATTAACTGTACTTGTTATTAGAGGCTACCAAAGTGTTTGGTACGCATACAATCCACCCCAGTTGTTAACGTAGAAAGTACTAGCCGTTTCTAACACGTTTTCCGATGACCAGGAGTCGGGAACAGTGCCGCGAGGACCGCCGGGGAAAACGGGTGTAAGCTGACAGGATTGCCGGATCTGCGACAGGGGAATAATCTTCCCCTGTGGCAGACCATTGCTTGAGGACGGCGGTTTCTTGACCGAATACATCAAGTGGGAGGAGTCAGCCGCAGGCGCGAAGCGAGTGTACCACTCTACATACGCGAGCGGACCCCGTGGCCACCATGGAGGTGCAGACCCTCCGCCTTGCACCGCAGGGAGCTTGCGCGGTAGAGCGAAGATAACCTTCACTCTCCCCGCTCTTGTCCCTGTATACATAATTAGCCGTTCAGCAGGTGGGTATAGAAACAATTACTTACCTCGTACGCCGGTGGACTCCGCATCTCCGCTCTCCAACACGATGACGGTGTCGAAGCGGTCTTTCCGCCCTGATCGCACCGAAGCCGGTATGGCCTTCACAACATCAATGTCAATCCTCCCGTCGTCCAGCTCGTAAGGTGTGAATGCAATTTGTGGAAGACATCGACGCGCTGGAACGGCAGCCACGTTCTGGAGAGGTCTTGTCTGTTGAGTCGGAGTGAGTCAGGCTGCAAAGCGTTGATGAACTGAACGAGTGCGGTCGTAAATCCGGGTGCGTGATGGCGGGTTTGAACCATAGCTAGGTTTTGTTGAGGAGCAGGTGCGTACTTCGCTATTTTGATAGATGTCCCCGCTATGTCCACGCCTTCCGTTGTGACAGAGTGGGGAGGTTCTTCTGGTACCGATGAACCGGTCTCGGCATGTTCTTCGTCCTCCGGGTGTTCAGCATCCTCCTCCGCTTGACGTTCCCTCTGGAACATCTCATAGAGAGCCATCTTCTCGTTGCGGGTGATCCACCGCATCATTTGCGGGAACTCGTCGCGGTGGTTTGATGCTCGCCAAGCGTCCTTCGCGAAGTCGATGTGAAGTCGCTCGAACATCTCCGTGTTGTAGTTATCCGTCGTCCCGAAGAGCCGGATGGACTGGACATAGTGCAGAAGGGAGTGGATTTTAGGTATGTTGAAATCATCCCGTATACCGAGGTCGACCAACACTTGCTTGTTGGCATGGAACGTCTTGAGTGCATCCTCCATGTATTCCAAGGTAGTGTCGTCATGCGTGGGGTACTGCGCTAAGTAGATGAAATCCAACAGAGACCTGAAGGTGAGCATTGTTGACTTTGAGACTTGCCAACGAGACATGCGAGGAGGACTCGAGCCATTTCTTTCCTCTCTTTCCCAGATATCTGAGAAGAGAGGAGATGCCGTTACGGAAATGACGGATGCCGTACGCAGGGGCAGGCATCGGAGGCGGCTGTCTAGTTCCTCTGCGGTGAGAAGCTCTTGACACCAAGTGACGACGTGTTTGAACACCCCTGGTAAAGCTGGTGGAGAACATCTGGTGTTATGGATAGATGTATGTCTGCGTAAGGGAGATTGGTCCAGAACGGCGACCGCGCCGCACCGTTCACGTCCCGTAGCATGCATTCGACTTCAGCCGCAGCCGCACTGCGACCACCCGACCATGCATCGTCGATGATACTCTCTGTGAGCTCGGATGTGCGAGGGCTGCTCGGGTCTTTCTCCCCGAGCTTGTCCGCTGGACATTGGCACTTCGGGCAGGTCCCGTACTTCGAGCAAGTGACGAGGCATTGCTCGGGGTAGTCAGCGACATATGCGGCGAGGATAGGATATATCCTGCGCACGCAGCCATCACCTCCGGTCATCTCCACACCTTCGACACCAGCTTTGATGAGGGGCTCGACAATGAGGCGCATGGAAGCGTGGAAGAGCTTCTGCGTTCGAGCCTTGCTTTCGCGATTGGTGAGGCCCTTCTTGCTGACCTTAGAGACAGCAGGTACCCAAGAAGGATACAAGCGTGCTCGGACGGTTTGCGGCGGATGGCGCGGGTATGTTGCCGAGGGTGAGGTAGACGGGGTAAGCAGACTTGTTACCGGAAAACTGTGTCAGCTGAGTCTTGTCGGTGGCCAATATGACTGACGCGAGGGCGGCGCCCTCAGGTAAGTGTTCCTAGCACGGAACATAGCATTAGCACATTCTACTGGTTGTACCATTGATGAGCTGTCTGACTTACCTGTACGGTGTCCCACCAGAGGCCCGTCCACATCTCCGTGTATATGCGCCTCAACCGCGACTGGTCCGCAAAGACTCGTTTGGGCCGGTATACAATATGTTTGGCATGCGCTGGATTGCCAACCAAGGCCTTAATCGCTTCGATGATGTCCCTGTACCGCACCATGTGCTTCTCATCTGGTCGATCAGGGAAGGTGAGCGTAGCAGTCTGCCATGATGCTCGGTCCGGGATGCTGTCCACCTTCTGGAAAAGCTGTCGGACGTCTTTGAAACTGAGTTCCAGCTTCTCAACAACCTACGCAAAGACTCGTAATGAGTGATTAAACCCACACAGGCGTGGCCAACTCACCCCGGTATGAGAAGAAACCTGTTCAGTGAGTTCTGCCCGACGTCTTCTCTGACAGCCCACATTGCCACCCGCCAATCTAGCTCGGATGCAAAGGGCTTCCACTTGAGGTTAGGATCCTTAGCCGCTTGCTCATCCACACCCACTCCATCCACATCCATTGCGTCCTCGGGAGGGTCCTCTTGCTCAACATCCTCTCCAAAATAAGCCTTCCACGTGTCGACAACGGTCTCCTCCATTCTGATTACGCGCCCCGCTCGGGGGTCTTCATCCTCCACCCGGGTGTCTTCGTCGTCATCCAGAGCTGGCAGTCGAGCTGTCGGGGGAGGCCGAGAACTGGATGAAGACGAAGACGCTTCACCCTGGTCTCCGTTGGGCCCATCATCAACAGTAGAAGTAGGCAGAACGAACCGGAACAGATCCCTGTTCTCCATGATGTCATGGAAATCCAGTGGTTCCTCGTCCGCGTCGCTTGAGTCCTGGATAACGGCGTGTACCTGTTCCACAACTTCAGGTACCAGGCGGTCGTGAGGAACGGGGTTCTTGCCCTTCCTGTACCATTTGCAGGACTTTGCAGAGCTCAAATGAGCCATCATGCCCTGTGCTGTCCTGAATGGTCTGTCGCATGCCGGACAGGTCCTGTCGTCGTAATCCCCTGGGCGGAGGAATGGTACGTTCATCTTGCACTGGCCAGTCAGTAGAGGTCAGTACATGATCCCTGATAGAGGATATTTCACACAAATCTCACCGGGACAGTATGACGCTCTGGATGAGATGAAAAGCGTAAGAAAAGCCTTGGGAAGAATATGAGCGACGGCGCGTGGTCTCCGCTCAGCGTCTCATACTCATTCAGTCGCTTAGACGGACGTAAACGCCCATGTTACGGCGTGGATATGGGCTTCTCCACCACCGCTTTTTTGTACCCACCTCCATGATCTATGCCACCGTCATTAATATCCTTACAGCTATAGAACTTGGGCAAGCGTATCTGCCGCATCCATGGGTGCTTTATCACTGTAGGATTTATTACGACGCCTTGCCTTCTAACTGGTTGTCTCTGTGAGCACTGATACCTCCGTACCTCTGACATTTTATTAAGCTATTGAAGTTACTCACCTGTACTTACTTTTCACAGTCTCTCGGTATTGATTGCATTGCGTGAGTGCCGTTGCATATCTCGTTGCATTCTGAATGGTGTGAAGGCTTACGGGAAAGGGTCTTGGACATTCCATGTCCACCTTCCTTTTTGGGCTGACCCTAAGAAGTTGCCGCGCCCCCACAAACCGCAAGAGCCCACCGTGTATTTCGAGCTATATATGCCGGACGGTCTGTCGCAAAATTGTACGTTCATGACGTTCATGCTGCCTTCTTCTGATGTGGTCCCATCAAGGTATCCCTATGTCGTCAGTTGGTAGAAGCGAACTGACTGAAATGAAAGCGCACAGATTGACACCGCACTAGTTGTGGTCTGTTGTCCCGATTCAATTTCCCATGAACGAGACAAGTGCCGACAACTTGAACGGTGACTCCCTCACTCCTCTTGCAGCCACGACATACACTCGCTCTCAACATGGCGACGCCTCGCCGTTCTGTTGGCTTTCCTCACGCAAGGAATCTCTCTGGCTCTGATACGGATATCGACTCCGACTCTGCCGGGGCAACCGACTTCGGTTCTGACATTGACGGCAGTCAGCCGTCTTCCGAGATCGACTCCACCCCTCTGCCTCAAACTCCTCCTCAGATCAACCGTCCTATCAAGGTCGCCTCTGACTGGTCTCCGGCCAGCCCGGTCAGCGTGCAATCGTTCGATAACAAGGCGCATCGCCTCACTCGACCTCTCGGTGCGGAAAGCTCTCAGCGGACCATCGTCTCGGAACCGTTACCGTCGGAGTTCTGGGCCATTTTGAAGAAGTTTGAAGTGAATCCGGTGGATCACGATTTCATGGTGTACGTATTCGAGGAGATATGGAGCTTGCGGGAAATTTGGGAGCTCTCCAACCCCGATCACTTCGTGCAGAAGGTGAGATGTCAGTCTCACATATCATGAATGGTTGGTGTCAATACTCAACCTCAGGACATACCCCACATTGAGGAACGTCGCTGCTGGGTGCTGCAGGACATACTGTCCAAACTCTGGCAGCTGAACCCCGCTTATCCTGACGCGTCGGACGATGAAGACGCATCAATGCTCCACGCTAATTTGGATGACGACGACGACGTTTCAATGCACCACACTGATTCGGACGATGATTCCTACCAACCTCGGCTCAGCATGTGGTTAGCTTTCCTTCAACGCGTGCGGTGAGTTCCAAGAACACCCTTTTCTCTTATTCCGGCTAACGCGTTACACAGCGTTGACTTCTGGCCGGAGTCTCGGAAAGCAGTGGTTCTGGACCCACCGTTCATGGGACTTCCTCCATCGCCATGGCCCAGCGTTTCGCGAGTCTCCTCAATAGGAGTGCATTTCGGGTCGAGATGCAGGATACGTTCATGACTTCTCAATGCGATCTTCTCACCGTCGATGTACAGTTCCGCATGAGGGGCGGGGTGGTTAGGACTATCAGGAAGAAGGATGAACTCGGAACTGAGTTCTTCTTTTGCATGGGGGTGCAGTCAGTGGGGGAGCTCCAGTACGAGATGAAGAAGGTATGTCCAAGCCTCCAAGCTGTTACAGTTAACAAGGATTCATGAAAGGAACAGATGGCCGGGGCTTTGGACCTCATGTCCACCCTTCAAGGCTTCGTTATCGCGCTGGTTGTCCCAACCAGCACGGGTACCGGGTATCACTCGCCCCTCCTAGCTCTGGAAGAGGATATGCCCGCCTTACAGGCATGCCTCATTTCGTACGAGCGGGCTGAGTTCGGCGACTTCCGCACATGTGTGGAGGAGGCGCGAGGCTTAGAGGACTGGGAGAAGGAGACATCGCACTTCTTGGTAAGATTGGGTTCACATCTATGGGTCACCGTACTCATCCTTGCACAGAGGCTCCTTGCCTGGCAGCCTCACCTTCCTGCGTCGCAGCTGCAAACCAGCCCAGTGGATGGGGCGCGGATCCTCAAGGATCGGTTATATTCCATCATACACTCATACAGCTATGCTCATCTGGGCATCACGCCTCTTGATCGCGCCCTCAAGCGCGCCATCCCCACGGAGCCCCAGTGGAAGGAGCGGGTGGACCTCCTCGCCCACGAATGCCTCAATGACATCATCTTCTTCCTCGACCAGTCCGTCGGGCATGTAGCGCATGAGTTCGTCGGCGGACTCAGAGGTTTCGAGCGGGGAGCCCTGCTGGAGACGACCCCCGTCTGGTCTCGTAGATGAGTAGATTATCGCATCATCTATCTATGTATACCCTCCGAACTTTGTACGAGCGTATTGTATGTGTATCGATCCATTATCCGCTTCCTGTCACAAAAGTTCCTTGTGAGAAGCTTCCCCGTGGGCGGCTCAAAACCAGCGCCGGAAACGCCGGCATTGCGCCATGAGGAGCGACCTTTCCTCTGTGCTCTGTCCTCGCCCCCAAGCTCAGCATGGCACCTTATAAACCGCCCTCCACTGTGCATGAGACCCTGGTAAACATCATCTTTACTTACGTCTGCAACATGCTCCGCCAGATCGGCCATCACCCCAATTCACACTGCAGCACCAACTCCTGGCACAGCTTACCATGCTTATCAAGGGCGACCCAAACACCATTCCCGACGTCGTCATCTCCTTTCCATTTTCGTTCATGAACTTCCATCTGATCATGATCGAGGTTTGCGTCTCGGAAACAGCCCCTCACGTCTTCAAGAAGGTAAGTAAATACTTATCATACTCGCTGTGCTAAGATCAAAGTGACATGAACAATTCCAAAGGTGGCCAAGCTCATTCGACAGGCAGTCGGGCCATTATTCGCTTTCATGTTCCTGTTTGTTCGGGAACGCCACGAATCACGGGCCCCTGGGCAATTCGAAGGGTACCCGAGTATCATGCGTCAAAGCTGGACGAAAGCGCGTGCCACTGGGGATGAAGGGGAGGAGGCCCTCGGTGAGTGGACCCATCAGGACAAGACACAGGTGTCCCCGCCGAAGGCCGGGAAGCCACCGCCCCAAAACATTCGCCCCGTCTTTCCCGCAGGAGACCCGGACCAGCCGCACTCTATCGAGGTCAAAGAGCACTGGTCGGCATTCGCATGTCCGCCTCGTGCCCTACATGGCGTCCTCCTGCATGGAGCCATGAAGCTAGACGCCGTCATAGTTCTCCGCGACCGATTTGATGAGATACTGGAGGAGGTGGACAGGGGGACGACCATGGAGAAGATCGTAGATCGCTTCCCGACCGTGGTGAGTGGACTTACCTTCATTCTCGTGCCGTTCCCCTCACAAGAGGTCCGACCTAGTCCTTCAAGATGGATCCCTCTCCGGAGTGGATTGGATCTATCTCCCCGAGCAGGAGTTCTGGCGGGAGATGTTGCGAATGTGCGTGCTCACTCGGAGAACGTTTAACGCGATGGCGTTGAACATGGGAGGCTTGAGTGGTCCTCGGCCCTTGTACACCGTCCACCGCAATCGCTCCGCCCCCGCTTGCCAATGGATGGCACAGCACCTCCCTGGTTACACCACTCGAGAGTTCATCCGTCGGGAAGACGAGGTGTTCGAGGAGGTCGTGGTTTTGTTAGCTGATCAACTGACCGGGGAAGCCTTGAAGGTGTTTCACGATTCCATGGTCCAGCGACTCTCTCGAGCGGCGATGCAGTGGGCAGACAGCAGACTGATGGACGCATTGGGGTAGATTAAGGATGTATTCACCGGTATTCTATTACACTGCGCACCGATTTGTAACCTTTTGTATGCATTACGGTCTAGCGTGCTCTCTTCGCAGTTCCAATGTTCAATATCAATGTCCCGATCCACCATGTCCACTGGCGCCTAACTCCAAGTCCAACTCACCGCCGATCATGACCACCACACCGGGGCAAGTATGCCTGAGCTTGACGATAGCAGAAGCAGAGGCTCTTTTAAATCTTCTGGACGACTTGCCGGTCTCGACGCAACCTCTACAAGGCGTTAGGGAGAGGCTTGCCCAGTCCCCGAACATCCAGCCATCTTCCCTTGAGGCGACTTCCTTGGGACACAATCACGCCAGCATCCAGTCGACGTCTGCGGCTCAGGCTCCGCATGTACTTGCCAATGGGGAGGGTCTGGAAGGTGCGCAGTATGCAGATATTGTTATCAAATTGACAGCCCAAGAGATCACGCACTGCAGAAGTCTCGTCCAAGCGCGTCCAAAGTACGAAAAAGCATACCTCAAAATTGGCAGCTTCGAGCAACAAGAAATCTGGGAAACGTGCAGATCAGGCCTTCAAGAGCATCAAAAATTGCTCTAAAAAGAAGAGTAAGTCTACCGCTGCAACGGCGGAGAAGCAGTCAGGGCCACCGGCTCTCAAATGGATGAACACACATGCCCCGGAGGGTACAGTTTCAGAGCCGGTTAAGAGCTTCATCAACGGCCTCGATGCTTCCCTCAGTGACAACAATTCGCTGTACGCCATTGTGGAAGCATTGCAACGAGATGGGGATAGAGAAACCGCGTTCCTGGACGATTCCCTCTCATCCATCATACAAAGGTGCAAGCGTATGACGGCCGTCAGTGCCGCCACCGACTTTCTCTTCATGGTGCAGTACCTGCAGCTCGTGTTCAAGTGCTCTAGGTGTGTTTTATTTTATCATAACCCCACTGTGCCACCGAGTTCCAGTTGACATTTCCTTGTATCTAGTCTACAACATCTCCATTCGCTGAGCGTTAACGGTGTCTACGAGAAGCAAGTCAAGCATCTAGACAACCCCGTGTGCGATCGTACCTTCCGTCGTTGGGTGGAATGTGGGAGTAAATTTGCCATCATGGCGTGGGGAGGTACGTCACTATTTTATTCTTCAATGCTCCTGTCAATAAACTTGTGTAGGTTCCATATACATTCTCATGCTCATCGCCATAGCGGATATGAAGCACAGTCTTCTTCATCCGGTTGGCAATTTTGCCTGGCAGGTTGCAAGTGTACTTCGCAATCCAAATCCTGGTTAGCCATCCGTTTCCTTGGTATGACGGGTTCCATCACTCACCGACCACTTCGTTTCACTAGAGACGGCTGTCGGTGGGGTTGTGATCAACAAAATCATTCCACTGTTATCAACTCTGCGACAAATACTCCCACTGACGTTCGACACCCTCTTATCACCCCGTATATGTGCGGATTATGGCATGCTACACGATTCGCTCATCTGCTCCGACCTGGATCGATGTGATTTAGTTTTCACTTCTTTGAAGCTCAAGTGAGTGCCATGTCCATTGTTGTCGACTCTCTACGTCATGTATCTTTATTCCCCACAGTAACTTCGGCCCGGTGCCGCGCAACAAGAATGTGTGGCTGGCCTTCTATCAGCCCCTACAGGCCCCTAAGGAGACCCAGCTAGTCATGTTGGCTGGACGATGGCTCTACGGTTCAGATAACCAAGAGAATGAAGCCCCTCCCTCTCCATTGACGGTTTGCGACGAACCCTTGGAGGGAGAGGAACCAGGACCAACCGCTACGCCCATCTCTGCGCCATCAGCCTCACAGTTTACCGCACCATCAGCCTCAAGTTTACTGCACAGCGCCCTGCAAGAATATCGCTTACGGCAGCTTATGACCTGTTCCACGAAGCCCATAGAAGAATTCCAGTCCCAGCCACTGCGGATGAGGCGTTCTCGTGGACAGAGAGAGAGCGCGGCCGGGCGAACGCCGCCCGGGAGCCTCGAACCATCGACGAGCTGCGATATATTGTAAGTTCGTTCAAACACCATCTAACTCTTTGACTTACATGCTACACTACGTTGGCTTGTTCAGCTCTCAACCATGTATGAGGAAGGCTCGCGCATCAACAATGATAACAAGTATGTGAAGATTGCACCCACCATGTCCACGTGAGTGCTTTTCACGTCAACTCTCAACAATGATATTGAATTCTTGTACAACTGTTGCAGAGACCCTGTTGAGATCCGCGACCGCAAGGGCTCGCTTATCATGTGTATCTTTCCGAACATGCCAGAGAAGTTGAGACACAGGCTGTTCACGGATCTCGTCTCTTGTTTCGATGAGGAACCTTCTGGACTTGAGACCATGAGCTCATGCTCCCAGGGGCCGCAGTACTCTTTCGAGGCGCTGCATTTCGCCTGGTACAATAGGCATGGCACAAGGGTATGTGCGCCCATGCCTCACTTGGTTTGTTTTCCGTTATAGCTGAGAGTGTTATGTGATCCCATAGGGCTACCAAGTTTGCAGTGAATCGCATCCGCACCTCATTCGAAAGGCGGACCGCTCCAGGACCAACTACAGTCAAATGCTGCCATACCCCTCCGCTGACATGCACAAGCATGAACGGGTCTACCACAATCTTGAGCACATTTTTGCCGAGGTGTTTGGATGGATCAGAGAGCAAGTACGTCAGATAATGACATTTCTCACTGTTCTATCCGTAACTAATGTGTACCAGATCCAAATTTTGTTTCCCCAAGAATACGCGGAGATGAGCGTTGACGCGGAAGTGTTGCCAGGGAACGCCGGCTCGATTGTGCACCCATTCCTCTCGCTCGTCATTAACCTGAATGTTGCCACTTCCGCTCACAGGGATTCCATGGACAAAACATTGTGCGTTGTTTTGCCCATTGGTGACTTCGAGGGCGGGGACCTATGTATGTACGAGCCCGGTTTCGTGGTTCCCCTTCGCAATGGCGATGCTGTGGCCTTTCCTTCTTTCAGTATAACTCACTTCAATCTCCACTACACCGGCTGCCGTGCTTCTATTGTACTACACACGGACAAGGAAATAGACAAGTGGACGAAGGGCAGCCGGAATGGGTGGGAGGGCAATGTATATTTTAAATAGGGTTTTTAATATTACGACACGTACGTACGTCTTCGGTTGCCACCAATTGATCTGGCTGTCATGCTCGCTCCAATCTGTTCGTCTTGCATCTCTCTCTCTTCGTCCATGGTCTAGGTGTAAGTACCCTAAACTCTTCATCAAGCGTTGCTCAGATGGTGAGCAGCTTCTGGGACTTGGAGCTTTCGGACTCAGTCAGTGCTTCACTCCGCATCTCCGAAGGGGCTTCGGTTCTTCCGTTATCGACAGCGCGGACGCTCAACGCTGGTTTGAGTCGTCGACCCGCCTCGCGGTTTGTCTGTCTCCGATCTCATTCTGCGAACTCATATCTAGTTGTTGCCTCATACCATGTCTACTCCGCAGACACGCTCCAAGGCTGCAGCAGCAGCGAAGACCACGAAGAAGGCTCCGAAACCGCCGTCAAAGGCGAATGGCTCCCAGAAGACTCAGTCCGATGTGGTTTCCGATTCCACTGTTGCCAGCAGCGGGGACATACAGGAGATCAAGGACTTCTTGAAGACAAAGATGAGCGGTGCATCGGCATCGCAAATCAACGCCATGGCTCGCTCCATCGCAAAACAGAGGAAGGAAGCAGCGGCGAAAGAGAAGCGGCAAAGTAAGATTTTACCGTGGCCAGATCAATCGAAGTATACTACATCTTGTTGCAGCAATCCAGGATAACAACGCGGCCGCGATGGAGCAGGATGACCAAGAGGGAGAAGATGATGCCGAGGCTGAAGCTGGAGAGGATGAGGAGGATGAGGAGGATGAGGATACGGTGCCGTCCAAGTCAACAGGCAAGGGGGGAAAGAAGAAACAACGTGAGTACATGCGCCTGCCAACACATGGACTGACACTATGATATAGTCTCAGCGCCGGCGTCGCCCTCGCGTACGAAAGCCTCTAGCACTACCAAGAGGAAGCACCTCCAGACGTCCGACCAAGAGGCGAGCGACACAGAAGAACGCACGAAGCAGCCTAAGAAGAAGCCAAGAACTCAAGCTTCGCGCAAGTCAGCTCGAGTTGAATCCCCGGAGCTGACTGTCGTGGAGGACAATGCGAGGATCATCCCCAGTAAGTGTCATTGCATTGTCTATGTGCATATTCCCGGACCAAGTCTGCACTCATGTCTTGAAGACCGGTCGCCCCAAAGGGCAAGAGAACCCGAAGTTGTCATCACTCGTCTGCCCGAGAAGCCTGCCCCGAAGGTGTCGAAGGATCAGCAGCAGCTCTCCGCTCTCATTGGTAAGCCACTCACAACCAGTCGTCCATCATTGCACACATGGAAGATACGCAGGGATGAAAGCGGTCAAGGTCAAAGGAAGTATGGCTAAGGGCACGGTCAAAGGTGGGGTCTCAGATGGCAGTGATGGGAGCGAGAACGGGGACGAGGAGGATGGCGGTGAGGATGTAGGAACTCCTGAGCCTGTCGGTGAGTTCACTCTGCTGTATATGTCATTCACCGCTGCACGTGTTACAGTGTTCGACACGACCCCCACGAAGAAAGCTGGATGGAAAGGCAAGGGGAAGGCAAAACAGGCATCACCCGTGGACGAATCCGAGGGGAGTGGTACAGAATCCTACAAGGTCTCGGATGAGGATGATCAGCTGGAGGGGAGTGAGGGTAACGGATCGGATGGACGTGATCCCCCCACTCGCAGCGGCGCTGATGAGGTATGCTTATATCGCCACGGGGACCCTCTGCTAACTTGAACTTCATTCTTAGATGGACGTGAAGCTGGAGGGCAAGCAGAAGGCGAAGACGAAGTCTCAAGCTCGGTCCAAGTCTGTGAAGGTGGAGGACGAGGAGTCTAGGGACGATACCATTGAGGTGTCCAAGGAACTCCTCAACGAGGAGCCTCTGAAAGGCTT